CAAAATAAAGGGAAGTCGTTGTTTATTAATTGACTGGATCAGTATCACTGGGCTCCGCAAGACATGTAGAAAGAAATTGAATCGCTCGCTCGAAGATTTTGGGAAGGACATTTTGAAGTATGTGGTAAAATATGTATCTAGGTGTGGACATGTTACTTTTATATCAGAGTGCCTGACGAAATGCTGGATTGATTTATTGATTTACATCGCCAGCTCCTGCGGGAAAAAGGATATTTTAGCCATTACAGTGTATAATCTTGGAAGATGTTTGGATTTAATACTGTTATTGGTTGTTTAGGTTCAAATCACACACAAATTTTGGAAGTTCTTCATTTCAACTGGTAAATCGTAAGAATGGTGAAGAAATAAACATGGCCAGGACTTTGACTTTGACCGATCAGGACCGACTTGGGTAGTATGAAATATTTTGTATATGTATACGAAACAGTATAGAATCATCTTAGAGTATATATACAGGGTGTCCCAAAAAAATGTGAACACTGTTTGATCGTTAATAACTCCCTTGCTTTCACGTCTTTCGCCGAGCTTGAGGCACCATTCTGTAGAGCGAGGTTTAACTTAGATTTGTAGTATGAAGCAAACCACCGTTCGCTCTTCGTTACTGTAGGATTACGGTAAGAAATTTCAGCATGTGGAACCATTGTAAAACATGCCATCTGACCAAATTTTTTTCAAAATATCTGAAAAATTGTGTATTAAGGTTTTCGCGCACGCTGATTCCACTACACAACTTTTTACGAGTGTTCTTAGCCTTTTTGATGGTGTAGTCACAATTTTGACACATGCTGGAAAGTCAGTTATTACAGTTCATCTCGGAAAACTTTGGAAAGAAGCATTGTAGTAAAGTGGAAATTTCATATTCGAAGTCAGCGCTTCCATTACCATAGTACAAAAGATTTTGGCTTGTTTGGTTCTGTTTCGAGGCAGAAAATGGCCTTCAACGGCCTAGAACCCTTGTCGAATTTCCTACCGTAATCCTACAGTAACGAAGTGAGATCGGAGTTTTGCTTCATACTACATATCTAAGTTGAACCTCGCTCTACAGAATGGTGCCTAAAGCTCGACGAAAGACATGAAAGCAAGGGAGTTATTAACGATCAAACAGTGTTCACATTTTTTTGGGACACCCTGTATATATATAAGTAATAAGACAACATATGGAGAAAGGCAAAAGATGTGTGGTCATTCAAAGAGGCTTGATCAAAGTAAGAAGTTTGCATGTAGTTTCCCAGAGTATTTTCTGAAAGGTTTTTGGTAAAAATTCCAGCCTTCAAAACCTGCAGTGGCTGCATTCTGTTTATGAGATGAACATCAATGATTGGAAAGAATGCCTCTTGATGCATGAATGAACAAAGAAGAGAACAAATCAGTAGAAGTAAGACTTGATATGGATTCAGACTCGAACGATAAGGTGTCATGAAAGGAACTATCAAGAAATTGTGTTTGCAAGGTCTAGTCCGAACGAAGATGGCAATGCAATGCATTAGTTGATCATAAAGACAACTGCGTTCTACTTTTTTATCCTCTTGTTTTTCCCGCTTAGCAGGGTTCGCGATTTTTTGGAGATTGACCTGGATAATTCGACTGAGTATTCGCTGATGTGCGCTGATGTCAAACTAGTAACCCGCAGGAGGCAACTCTGTCCTGAAGTGCTTATATACAAGTTGTGCATAGTAAATGAACGCTTTAATTAAATGTCCGTCAACAATGAAGAACAAATTGTGATACAGAATGTGATGCATACCATAGAGCATAAAGACAAAGACTGAAATATAAACAACATACATACGACGTACCCACAATTTCCGTTCGGAGAAGGGGGGGGGGGTGGAGGAGACGCGACAAAAAATTTTTCACTATGCTCCCTAAAATTACACTTACACCGTCTGAAAAGCTTTACAAACTCCTAGAAAGTTGAGTATTGAAATCAGCGCACGTAAAACCCCTGGTACACCGCATTACAGATTTTTTGGAAACTTTTTTTGAAACACGGCTAATCCACAATGATGCTGTAAGCCAAAATTTTTCACCACAATCCTACAATAGTGAGGAGCGATCGATGAAGTCAAAGGAGGTGACTCATCTGAAGCTCATGTGGAAGATACAGGGCAAAAACTGAAGAAAACTGAACATTTTTTGGTTGCCAGAACTTATATATAGAGAGCACAACGGTTTCTCCAGAACGCGCACTTGGAGCAAGACAAATTGTACTATATGTTGAAGAAATGCACATCATTATAAATCGCTGCGTTACGTTACCTAAAATTCCTTGAATCTAGCGAGATCCTCCGATTAATCAAGCACAATTTAGCTTTTAACTCTTGAGAGAAAAAGGCTATGAATGTTACCGTCGTGACGTAACATTTAATTATTATTTATCGTGACAAAGTCATTGGAATATTATAACATTTCCAAAAAGTCTTAGAAAGTAGCGATAATTGAAGTGCTATAGCGATAGGTAATAATTCAAAATATGTCATAAAAATCTAGAAATTTTGTTTATGCTGTTGCGAGACATAAATACATCGGGGTGCCGCAAACTGCAACGAAATTTCTCTCGATGGCGCAGACACCCTGCTTTCTTAATTTGCTAGTTGAATGCGTGACTCCTGAGGCATTGAAACTTGACTGTATCTCAAAAAACAAGCTAGTGTCCCTTATTATTTTCTAGAATACAAAAGGGTTAGGTCTTTGATTCCTCCTAAACCACTAACCCCAGAAGAATCTTTCCATCTTTCCCTAAATTGCAGCAGTTTCAAGGACTTCTAATCTGAAAATGTTTTTGCTTGATTCTCCTTATCACTCCATCTAGACGTTACAATGAGCCTTGTGACCTTATCTTGATGTGGACCAAAAAATTCATTCCATATAAGGGTTACATCAAAAAGTATGAGGTATTCAGAAGATAGAAAAATTACATGAGTAATTGTTAAGCTTAATTTAGAAAAACAATCCAAACATTGCGACGGTGTCAGTGTAAGAGTAAGCTTCGAGAACTTGAAGATCGTAAGTGAGATTGGTTGCCAGAAATGCTGGAGAAGTGTTAGATGAAGACTTCCGTTTCGAGACTAAGTAACTGTTGCTCATGATTGAGGCAAAGGCTTCTTTTTTGGTCATGATTGTAAAGTGTCTGGTGCAGCTGCGACACACACGAAAGCCGCGAATTGGCACCATAGATTCTACTGATTTCTCTACCTTTACGAATTAGCCTGCTTGATTCACAGATGGCCTACAAATTAAAAACAGGGGAGACAGCAAGAAATTAGCGATGTTTTGGAGTGTGGCACAAGGGATACTTTAGGTCAGGTTTGACAAGCAAATTAAATGAAGATGTTTCGAGTAAACTGACATTAAGCTAATTTTAGCGCGGGTACCGTGGATTCCATGTGAATCACAGATAAACTATTAAGGGAGAGAGTCTCGCTTTCTGGAAAAGTGGGTTTTGATTTGCATCAAAATCGTTTTTTTTTTAACTTAGAATCAAATTAGAATCAATTCGTCATAGAGTTCAAGTCATTGATGCGCCTGTATTGGTGTCTGACGTATAGGTCATGGCGATAATGCCCATATTGCTCACCAGCCTGTCTCTATAATATTCAAGTGACTCATCTTCTCCAGTCATAAAGGTGTAGATACTCCCTTATCTTCCTCTTACCTCTCCTCATTTTTCATAATTGTTCGCATTTATTTGTTTGCAATAAAATTAACTACGCTGACTCATTAAAATACTTTATAAGTTTCAAACAGCTTCAAGTTTTTTTTTTCAAATTTTCCATTAAGCATTGAGGACATTGCAGATGATCCACATTTTCATACAAGGTGTTTTTTTTTCTGGGAAAAGGCATATGTACGGCTCTACTTCGTACTGGGCAGAACTCTTCCAAAATCATAGAATAGAAATATCAAGCATCAGCTATGAGAACAACTTCGCGACTAAAATAAAACGCCACTCTTCTCTAGTAAAATTCCGCAAGTGGCTTAAATGCACATGATGGCTTAAGAACCTTACGAATGCTAGCAAGATCTATCTTTTCTAAGAAAAGGAATGCCAACGATGTCTTGGCACATTGTCAACGTCACATGGCGATCACTTGACGGCACGTATGAGTTCAAAAAACGCACAACAGTGTGTAGCAGGGATCATCGTGTGAGCTGAATCAAAGAATCAAAGACGCAGGGATTTTTGAATCAAAGTCAAGAATACTTAATTAATAAATCTGCCGTGAAAAAGCGCAATGATTATCGATATCCAAGACCCAAGCGTTTCGGCTGCAACACATTTTTAGCAAGAAATTTATGTCAACCAAAAAATGTACCAAAAAATGCTTTGGTAACTCGTGCCAAGCAATTTTTTACCAATAATTTACAAACAGAAAAAATGGAAATTGAACAAGTCCATAATTTTGAGCTCGAAATGCATTTCACTGTTACTATAACCAATTCTGTACTTTCCGATTTCTTCAATTTTCCAAAATAGAATTCTTTCAGAAGAGCAATAACCATCAAGACGTGCACGACGCAAAGCGTCTGTCAAGTCATGACAATGCACCAAGAAAAAGTATTGAGCAGTTAATGTGAAGATGACTAATACCACCGAAAGCTATTTCCCTTTGCCACATGACTACGCTTCCCCATTTTTTTCGGAATTTCTAAGCTTTCCTTTATAGGATACTGATAACTATGATTTTTACGCAATATAAGGTATTATTTATTGGTTTGTCCGTTGTGAATGCATCGGAATAGAGTCGGCACTTTTATCGGCAACTTCTAGTCGAGCAAACGCTAGAAATTCTGCTACAACGGTCGACTTGTGCATATGTTTGTTCCGGACGAGCTCGCAATGTTTAATTTCATGCTTTGACGACTAGGTCAACATGAACCTGAACTCGGGCGGACCCTCCAACAACGTGTTTCGCACTTATTAATTGCATCTTGCTTTTCTTGCCCTTTTTTCATTTTTTTATGAAATCTCATCATAGGTTTTAGATACAATTCAATTTGAGGTGATTGTCCGGAAAATGCTCAAGCCGGAACTAAACCTCACGGATTCAAGTATTTATCGCGTTCCTACGGCAGATCCAATCCATTTGGTGGGTATTACGATTTAAGACATGCCGCTAAAATCGTGTCGCTAATCTTTCTGGTGATATTAAGCGTCATTCTGCACTATAATGTGTATTCCTCAATATTCTCATCTTTCCCTCTGATAATTTTTGGTTTTTCAAATTTCTAAAGTTTTGGAATGGGTTAGGATCGAATGAGCATAACTACTAGGCTGTTGCATAAGTTCTGTCCGATTTGAATTTTTGAGTTTAAAATGTCATAACTTCTTTCAGAGTCAACTTTTTTCCAAGGTCTTCAACTTTTTTCCAAGGTCTTAGTTTCTATGTGTTGAGCAGTCCCTTGGCTAAAAAATGCATATTGAGATCTGCGCAAATCTTTGTTAAGGAAGAACCAAGAATGCAAAAACTTCGCAGCGTTTTTCTTCGAATCTGTCTTTTTTGACATGGTAACGCTCCCTTATGAAAATTGATAGGCATCTTTTCTAATAATGGATGGATAGAGAAATTTTCGTAAATTATTATGCAACATAAAAGAGCCCATAGGGTTTGCGCTGCCGAGAGATTTTTTTGACCGAACAAAAAATTAGCCACTTTTTGACCTCGCTTCAGCACATGTGTGCATGCCTATTTATGAACTACGAACGTTTTACAACTGACGTGAGCGCCGAAAAGGAATTGGTGGATGGGCCCTGTTAGCTCTTGCTTTGCCCTAGCACCTCCAACTTTGAGCTTGTCGATTACTTCTATTCGCAGAAAGTTATTGCTTGTAAAACATCTATACCAAAGATTTATGTTCGAGGATAAATTTCACTAGCAAGACGTATTCTTCATGGGACCGAACTTCTGCATATACTAGCATTCCATACCCTTATTCCGAAGCCAATGAGAGAACCTGACTTGAAGGGCGCATTGTGGAGATATCCTCGCAAGGACATATTTCTAGGGATAGAACGTACCTCGGCCACTTAGAGATTTTAGGCCTGTGATCTCCGTACACTAAGAATTTTATTGAATTCTGGTATGCTTTAGAAAGCGCAAGGAAAGCACTTTTCAATGATACCAACCGTATCGAATTAGAGATGAAATTCTCATAGAACAGCTGCTTCAAACATGAGGCAAAAAAAATCGGACAGAACTTATGCAACAGCCTAGTATTGCATACTTCTCTGATTTCATTGAGAGATTCCAACTTATTGAACTCTCTCTTGTCTTACAAATAATCATTGTATGTGTTTATGTAATCAAATCGTACAGGTAAGCATTTTTGACGCATTCGCTCTACTCGACTCAAAATATCATCGTATTTTATGCGCTAAAAATTCCTTTAAACTATTGTTTGTCTCAGGCTTATGTATAGCAATCAAAATTCTTATGTCCTTTAAAGTGTTTGTCTCTGACTTATATATAGCAATAGAGATTGAGAAAACACTCTCTTTTTGGCTTATAAACGCTGAGTTTTTTTCATCGCCCTGCCAGTATAGATGACGTTATCATTGACAAGGGTTCATAAAATGGGTCTTACTAGATCGTCCCGAAAGCGCCCTTGCTTTTTCGAAAAAGCGCCACATTTCTAGAATAAAGAATATAGAAGATATTAATAGCATTAACCATATAGATAACCATCATTTTCATGATGGTTATCTATATATTGCAGTTGAACAAACGGGTTTCCAAAAAATTACTAAAAAATGGAAGGTTTTATAGTTTTCCTTAACCCCTATTCGCATAGTGGATGAGTTCGAATTTCACCGGAGCAAGCCGGTTGCGATAGCGCGTGGCACCTTCAGCCTTCAGTTCAGGCCCAAATTTGTTTTTTTTCTGTTTTCCTTGTTGTTAAATACTGCTCCTTGTGTTTTAACAATGTACCTGGACAGAATCAACGAGTTTAATGTTGCTGAGTGGTGTTTCTCTTCTATGCTCTTTGTTGACTTTGAGTTGTAAGCTTGGAGGTACGGTGAAAATGTGATTCTTGTTTGTACATTTTTGTCAAATAGCTTGTGTTTAACTATTGTTTTGGTGAATTCTATGTCATCAACAACCTCTGCAACCTGCATCGTTCCTCCGAGCTTACTTTAAAGAAGTGAAAAATCGGGAACGTTGTGTATAAAGTCGCTCAACAACAAATGAAGTCTTCAACTCTAATCACGATAATTGGTCATGACTTAAGCAATAGCGAGCAACGAGTAGAAAAACAAAAAAATCCTGTGTATTTTGCATTCGGGCGGAGGGTCCGCGCGCTAAGTTTACCTGAATTCAGAGTTGAATAAACGAGGATAGAAGTAAACTGCAACAATACTGAAAGTGTCAGTACTGACCACATACATTGTTGGAACATAAGAAAACGTTTAATAACAAGAAAAATGGAAGACAACAGTGCAAGCTGAATTGAGGGCGGCTGCACGTTCTGCCGCGACGGGCCTGCTTCAGTTCGAATGAATTCCTCCACCGTGCGACTGGTGAGGGCGACTATAGGTCAAGTTTCGCTATTTTTCAAAATTTTTGACTGTTTCTAAAAGTCCAAGTGAAGGATAAATAGAGCAAACCCTACGAAATGCAAAACATTTTGTCTTTCCATTCGCCGTAGATTCTTGGTAAAATTTACACCGTCAAAACCGAATTTTTGCAGATCTATCTCAAAACAAACGCGTCAAACACCAATGCTCTAGAAATTTTAGACTTTCAAAGGTGATTCATGATTCGACACTAATTTCATAAAGTAAATGAGCATTACAAAGACTCCATCGAATAGAGATGCAGCTTTTGAGATACAGCTTGGGGAGCGTCCAGAAATGTGAATTATCTCTATTTTATCCCTCAAAGCTTCACGAATGGGAAAAAAATTGTTAGAAAGAGGAGAGGATGCCGCATAGAATAACAGGAGAGTCATCGCCGGAGTGTTCTAAGCGATTTGACATCTTGGAGTTTGATAGCAAACAAAGCAATGAATTTAAAGCTGTTGAAAAGCAAGATATGGAAACAACAGAAAGTTTTGCATCCTGTAAGACTTACTCTATGCACCGGTCACTTAGACATCTCGTATGTCGGTAAAACTCGAGTATGGCAAAAATTGTAGTTCGTATTTTCAGTAATTTTCCAAGAGCTCTTTCGTTAAACTACAATATAAAGCATGCTATGTTTTTTCGTGTAATTTTTTGGATAACCTTTGCATACTTTTTTGGATGCTTTTGAGTTTTTGGCACACTTTTATGTACAACATAAATAAATAAATAAAGATAATCATTGAGGGCTTAAGAAATAAATTGAATGCCACCATTATTCTCATTTTTTTATTTTGGTGCACCTAAAAGTGCTCTCATAAGCAACATAGAAGCTTTTGGTACCAAAAACAAAACATCAACATAGCACAGTTGATGTCAGACATATCGAACATCCAATGCACTTCACTTCATCGTTAGGACGTTGCACAAGATTACTACCCAGGGAGAGTCAGTATAACAAGCGCTCAGATTCACATCTTATTTAAAAATCAAAACCAAGCTTTGTTTGGAGGGCCAGCGAGTTTACGGGCGCAATCTACTCTATGGTCCCAGAAAATGAAGCACATTCTGGAGGTACAACATTATATATAAAACTCAGTTGTCCTTTGGAGGGTATATATCTTATAGAAACGCCGCTACTGAACTAAGCTGAAAGTTTGCACACAGATGTTTCCGACCCAGGAGACGGTTTAAGGCTACTTTTCATCGGAATTCGCTGGGTCCTTCTATCGTATTGATTCGTTTATCAACTCTGGAAAAATGAAAGCTTGCAGTCATCATTAAGTCACTTTACCACATTAAGTGAACAGGGACGGTTGAATTTTTGTTCGGTGACTAGCAGGTTGTTTATTCTACGTGAATCGCCTTGAGGGCCACTCTATTCTTAAAGGTGCTCTCGCAAGTTAAAGGAAAAGCGAGAAAGTCGGAGTGGAGGTGAAGCGCAAGTGAGCGGAGAGGTACCCACTATTTTGCTTGGGAATGTGTACCGCCTGACAGTTTGGCTACTTGATTCCGTTTGAAACCGAGTACGCTAGTAAGATATATAAAAAAAGGGGATTCACTAAGGAAGACAACTGATTGACAACTTAACTGATTTTGTTTTGTTGGGGAGAAAGCTTCAGAAAGCGGGACACAGACTTCACTATGAATCTTTTGCTGCGGAATGCGGCGCTTATTTGAAACAGGCGAACTTTCGGGACGACTCAATACTATAAATAAAAGAAAACGGATATAGTTTATTCAACTCGTTAACAGATTATATGGAAAAGAAAGCAAAATTCACAGCTCGTTAGACTCATGCTTTGATGGCAACGGCAAAACTGCAGGCTTCTTCTTTTCCTTTTCTATCACCCCTTCTTCTTCTTTGTAGGGTGGCTGGAGCAATTAATTTCGTGCAACAATAATGTCAGGCTTCAAAGAAACTGAGGATACCAACATCATTATATTTGTGAATCATTCCACATAGATTCAGTGAACTTTTGCGGACACCTGATATAGTCAAAGACAGCTCTTTCTGTTTTATCTCATTAATGTAAGGATGTAGATCAAAATTAAAAGGTCTTTATCATTTTTGTGAAGGATATCCACAGCGTGGCACGGTACCTTGGCAAATAAAATTCAAATAGACTAATATTTATCTTATTAAATGATGCTTATGTTTTCATGATTGGTATTTAGCACTATCATCTCTATCAAACTCTCCGCAAATTTCAGATTCGATTACTTTCCACTGCCTTACCACATTTTTTCGAGAGATTTCGAGGAATAAGGCCCGACTGCACATTCTTGTCTTGTTTTATTCAAGATTTAGCTAGTGAGTGTGCTTATCTGATAACACCCGAGATAAGTTGAGATTTTATTTGATTTTACTCAGGTATACGCTTAACGTGGATGGACATTACAGCCTTAGTTGGATTAATACTAATGATTCATTTCATCAGAGCATTTGTTACGGGAGCGGCAAAGGTAAAATGTTCCTTTTTTATTTTTCCATTCTATGAAAATTCCTATGTGGAGAGAATTTTTCAGTCATGGGTTGCTAGAAATCATATCTTTCCACGATATGTGGATAAGTTTCCAGAATCAGTTTGGAAAGTCACTTATTATGGATCATCATGGATTTTTTCGTTATTTGTTCATACTTGCATTCCTGAAGTGAAGTCTTTCAACGACCCGTTATCGATGTGGGAAGGTAAGAGACTTCTTGATAAAGTAAAATGTGCACAAAGTCTACAAAACAAAGACCCATGATGCCACACCCGTTTTGAAACTGATCGCTTATCTGTGCTCGGTCAATTTCTTAATCATCGTGCCGCCACAGGCATAGACAGTGATAAGCATCCTAAAATAAACAGTGAATGTTTGATTTCAATACAATGTAGCTCACGTATATTATCTCACTGAATGGTGATAGTGACAGACCCTACGAGTTGGCTTCTAAAATTGAAAAAAGGAGTAGAATATGGATTCGCCAATAGTTCTCAGGGTCTCTCTGGCCTTTTTTGAACTCCATCAACTCTACCTCAAGCTTTTCACATGTACTGTTCGGAATAGAATTTAGAAATGAAAAAACAGAAAACTAACTGTAAGATCTTCACTCCTTCAACAACTCACATAAAGGAAGGCGATCATAAAATAGAAATAAAAATCTTTCCTGCAACATAACCTCGAAGCCAATAAACGCGACGGCTAAATTGATGCGCACCTGTATGGCTATAATTGTTTTTAATGAGAGCCAGTCGCAAAATTTCGAAATTTTACGAGGGGTTTGCAGTGATGAGGATGAGAGGGGCCGAGAGTGCGAGAAGAGTTTCAGAAAATAACAAGAGTACTGCAATTGCTATGTCGAATGCAAGCCGTGACAAGTGTGTGAAGTATGTGAGCAAGATTATGACAAAGGTTTTTTTGGGTTTGGGGTGTTCTACGACGCACACGTACGATGAGTGGCTTGTTGGACCTTCACTTTTAAAAATTTGAGGTGCCATATAGTTTGCCATATAGCTGATTCACATGCACAGCCCTTCACATCAGGTTATACACATTTGGGACCGCATATATTCCAATCACGTAGCTCAAAAAGAAAAACAGTGTTATGTCCACCCATCACATTTATGTTTTCCGCATTTTGAATAACTTTGTGCAGAGATTCAAATATCAGACTCGCAAATGTTGGGTATTGAAAAAAAAGTTATGCTACCGTTATGCTACCTACTTGTGCGTACTCGCACATTGTGAGCTAAAGTTTGAGTGCACGAGAATCATTTTATCTCGCAGCAGTGACGTACCCAGGATTTTCGTTCGGAGGAGGAGGGGAGACAGAAAAAAATTTTTGGATGAAAGTGCGCACTCTGACAAATTCTTGTGGGATGCTTTTCAGTGTTTCTGTGGGCGCATAACTCCTCAAAAACGTGGCTACAATGCTGAATTGGCTTCTAAAAAATTTAGAAAACTATTCAAATTATTCACAAGTGAAACAAGTCACTTGCACATTTTTATATTATACGTCATCTGAACTAAAAGCAATAGTTCACGAAAACTAGAGCATGTACAGGCTCTATGGTTGAAGTCTTGAAGGTCTCTACTAAACAAGCGCCATGTATGAGAGTGCTAGTGCGAGGCTCTCAGTTTTCTGCTTTTCATTTCCTTTGTTTTTAACCAAGAAAACAGAAACAGCAACTTCATATATGGATGAGTGCATGTATTCACTCTGTGCTGGAGCCAGGGCTCGGCACGAGCTGGCACCAGGGAATTTTGAAAACGAAGTCCCCTTTGAAATTTGCCAATTTTTACGAAGTCCCCCTTGACTTTTGAGAAATTTTACGAAGTCCCCTTTGATCCTCAACGATATCCCCTCTAAAATCCTAAAAAAATCCCCAAAATCCCCCAAAAAACGAAACGTCGACTAAAAAAAAAAAAAAAAAAAAAAAAAAAAAGGCCGTCGCCGTCAATTTTGCGTATGTCTTCGCCCACAAAAACGAAACCCCCTTTGCTTTTTGCCCCAAAAACGATATCCAGCTTGCCCCGTGCCAGCTGGTGCCAGGCCCTGGCTGGAGCAAATAAGAGATGCAGGATTTTTTGTAGCAGATCCAAGTTTTGACTTATGAATTGCTTATATCTCAAAATTTACGAGTTCATCCAAAGTTTATTGTGTTCGCTGTTATGAAAAGCGACAATTCTTTCCATTTGAAACTACTTGAGGTACGCTTAAGCTAAAGTGAGTTTATATATGAACTCAGCTTCTCGACAGTTGACATAAAGCCCATTCCAGAAACGCTGGTCCAAATCATATCCGAAACCTGCGAAATGTCCTCTCAAAACAGTTATAAATGCCTTTGCCCGCAAATGTGAATTGACTTGAGTATAGGGTTAGAATACATAAAAATACATCATCCCGGTTTCTACAACTTGACCCACTCGGTAATAGCAACGTCTGAATAATTTTGTGAGTGTTGAACACAAAAGAGGAAAAAAACAAATTATCGGTTCTTTCGAAAACTGGGTCACCTGGGTTCTTGCTTGGCAGAGATGGTCCGCTTACCGTTACAACCCTCAAACATCCAGCAGTTATCATATGCATTCAAAAAAGGCTTGAAATAGAGGTGAAATCCAGAAAAATTCGGTTTGCCACAACTGTGTACGCTACACGCGAGTGCCCACCCATCGTCGGGATTTCAATGCACTTTACTCAAGAGGACAATTTGAAAAAAGTAACGAAAGAACTAGAATTTGTGCACGAAAATACTTTGGACTCAGTCATTTATGATCTGTTGACTTTTTCACTTTTAGGATGGTCTGAAGGGATTCCGCCACCAATCCATCCAGCAATCCTCTTAGTGTATGCCAGTCAGACCGCCTTCTATATTCATTCTATCTATGCAACATTATATTTGGATATTTGGAGGAAAGACTCATGGCTCATGTTCATTCATCACTTCGTAACAATCACAATGCTTCTACTCAGCTACGTTGACAAGTATGTGATTAGTGTAGTCACTTCACATTAAGTGAGGGCCCTATTAATGAAGGACAGTATAACTGTTAGGCACATGGTTTGAAATGTGCAAAATATGGCTCACTGCAATACACTAGTCGCTAATCACTCACGCATCGATACTTGTATTCTCTGCTGTGCAATATCGCCAGATTCTGCCAACAAAAAATTGGGATTTCTTTTGAGATTTAGATGAAACTTCCAGCTGTGTCAAAACCACAAAACAATTCTTTTTAGAATCAGAAAAGTTTGTTTGATAGTGCCTGGAAAGTCGTATTTCCGCAGGTACTCCCGAGACTTCAAGTACTCGCGAGATATGATTTTCCAGGTACTTGAAGTTGGCGGAGATAGCGCGGCTATTTCCGAAGAGAGGCATGCGAAAGGCTTAATACCGCGAAGCATCAATGGCCATTCTGACCAAAAAACGCTTAACCCGCTCAAGCAGAAAAAAAACCCGAGGTCAAAAAATTATTCCACATCATAATAATACGACAAGTTTGGCAGCATACCTTCGATAGTCTAGAGACAGGGCGTTAAAAGTGAAGGTTGTTTGAACATCTGACGTCATAAATAGTGAAGGTTGTTTGGAGATGATCGGAGAAGAGAAAATGACATAAAACAGATATAAAAAGCCAAAGAAACTGCTGAAAACCGGATAAAAACGCTGCGATGAGGCTTGAAATCTTTCATTTGGCGGCTTTTCAAAGTGCAAGTTTTTGCTTTAGGACCAGCAATTCGCAACACGGGGTTTTGATTTTTGATGCGTCTTTTGAATTTTTACCCCCGCATTGACGTTCCTGTTTCCTGGGACGTTATCTGGATTGTTTCGCTTATTGTTCTGAGCAACAATGCGAGCAACGCCCAAGCTGGAAAAAAATCGATGCGAAAGCACTGAAACAGAACAAGGTGAAGAAAAACGCACTTTTTACGATTTTTCGCAAAAAATTCCACAATAACCGAAGAGATAAAGGCTGGGTGGTTGTCTGCATTATGAACAGAAGCAAGATCTATAGAATGCGCGAAAAAACCGCGTGAAAATAGTTGGACTAGGAGAAAAACAAGAGATTTTCGAAAACAAGGTTTTTGCCGGATTTCTTGATCAAATAAAAAAGTGTGGTTCTGGGACGTTGTCAGCGTGAAAATAGAGATCAAGAGCTTCAGAATGATATATAGCTTGCTAAAATTGGGTTCGAAGCAGCGAAGAAGGGTACCAGAGCCAAATGCCCCGCGCCCCGCGTCTGGGGTAGCGAGGTAGCGCGCAGCGCGCGGAGACGCAGACGAGCAGCGGAGCCAGATCAGAGCCGACGGGGCATTTGGCTCTGGTCGTAGATCTCCGCGGGGTCTCAACGAAACCCCGCAACATTATATATCATTCCGATCGCCATGACACGACGAGGAGATTTGACAACGTCCCAAGCTCTGAAAGTCACTCATTAACGAGATAGACCAGCGCTTTCGTGCGCGACTCTCTGCGCAAGATTTAAGCGCACTTTCTCGTTCTTATTTAACTTCAATAGCTTTTCTAAACTTCTAAATGTCGATTTTGTTCAAATGAGAGGTTAACTAAGAAATTCTATTCTGAATTCTGGCGAAAATCCCAGAAGAAAGCTTCTTTTTGAGGTAAATAAGGCCATGAAAACTCAAATTCTCGGTTTCGCTGAGATAAGCTAAAGATATTATTCTCTATATTTGTTTCATCAACATTCGTTCCGACATAATCAAGATTATAACATCCGGGGCGAAGCCCCGGATGACTTTTGTTTTTTTCCAGGTGAAGGTTGTGTCCCCTCATAGTTCGCAAAGTGAAGGTTATCAGAGTACGTGGCTCTATGTATCGAGGGTGTTTTTGGCAGGATACAAAGTATACAAGCATGCTGTCCAACATATTTGTACTGCATATCAAATCATATACATGGATTTTATCCGTTCCGCATAGATAGAATGAAAAATACCATTTTAGCCACGCGAGTCATGAGGATTTGTCTATGATCCGGCACAAAGCTGGAACTTGTAAAATGATACTTCCTCGCAAGAATTTTACGAACTTCCTTATAGTGTCAACTCACTGCATCATTCAAATAAAGCGCGCTTTTTCCCCAGGCCTAAATTCTTGATACCACTTCGCTTCCCAGCGAAAAGGAAGAAAAAAGAACATTCTATACCTAATTGCTGTTATGTGGTAAACATTCGTTGTAGATGTGAATTGGGTTCATGTTGACTCAAAATTCTCTCAAAATCGTCCAGTTAGCTCCTACAGATATACGCAAAAAATTTCTTTAATACCCTGAAATCACTCCATAATGCTTTCCATAAATTCCTAAGGTTAATTCTCACTTTCTGCGCCTTCTATGGCTACCTTCTCAACGCAAAATGTTTGAAATATACCATGTTCAGTAACTCTTTACTTGCTACCTCAAGCCTCGTCTGGGAGTTGATTTAACACTACTCGATACCCACGTACCTAAATTATTTGAGTTGAAAAGAGACATTTCGAGAAGGAAAGCAGTGCTGAGAATATTGATATGTGATGTTTATAAATCTCTAGTTTAGTTTCACACTGTGCGGTGGACTGCTGCTACTTCTTCACGACAGTTCGGATGCCTTACTGGATTTGGCTAAATTGGGAATGTATCTGAGGAGACGAAAAAATGGCGACTATTACAAGATTATTGATATTGCTGGGAGCACCATATTTCTAATTTTCGTAGCAAACTGGTATTTCTTACTTTTTGTGATTATTATTTTTTTTCCAATTTTTAGTCTTTTTTGCTCGTCCTTGAGACGTCGCAATTTATAATGTCGGTCTATGCTTAGAAGTATGAAATCAAGGGCTGATGCATTGACATCTCGCACAGGGGCGGTATTTATCAATCTACTGTATGGGAAGGGGTTCCTGTACGGATCAAAGCCCGTACAGGCGCGGGCACTGGCGCCCGCTATATATGAAGCGAAACTAGCGATTGGGCTGCTGCCCATTTGGGAACCTGCAAAGGAGAGGGAATACGCTAGCAGCGCGAGCGGGCGCACTCAAAACCACCTGCTGGCTGAACTTTGTACTTCGCAAACATGAAAACCCATTGCTTTTTCTTTTTGCCCTTTCCTTTCCGGTCTTTGGCCACATTTACTGTGCGAACATACTTAAATTCTCATCAAGTGATGTTCTTAACAACAGTTTTGTTAGAGTAGAAGAGTTAGGGTCATTTTTTTGCACATTCCCAAAAACGCCCAATTATCCTAGATACCAGTCACTTATTGCACATTATTCTTTGAAGAAGAGTTCATAACATTGGTGGTATCTAAAGCTTTTTGAAGCAGAATGTTTGACTAGAAGTGTATTAATTTCTACCCGGTAAATCATATGTTTTGTTTTGATTTGTTGACGAGAATGCAGTATCTTGCGATCCGCCAAACAGATTATTGTTCGATTATGAAAGTTTTAGTAACAAGGATTTCTACAAAGTGGTGCAATCTTGCACTTTAGAGTTGGCTATGTATTATATATGACTAGTATTAGGTTGTCCCAAAAGTTTTGTCGGTTTTTTTCATCGCTCACCAAACCTCACAGAACACCAATCCATGGACAGCCTAGGTGTCGTTCTATTCATTTTTGTATCCTCTTTCTTATAGCTATATTTGTTCCCTGATCTACTCCGTCTTTACGATGTTATCGCCATGGCTTTTTGAGCACCTCAGCAGTAGCGCCAAAACTTTCTTGAATTTTCAAAATTCTTATCTTGACATTTTCGATGAGCGCTGGTGACTGTTATGTAGGGCTAACCTTTGGCTATATTGTACCTCTTTTAGATTACGTAAGCCACGTTTATAATGTCCGTAATAATTATTTATTTGAGAAAAACCGCGGCTTTTCGAACACTTTTTATCACGTAAAATTACCGAAAATTCCAAAAAGGTGATTTTTGAAGCAAAACAAACTTTGTTATGCTGCATAAATGATGTTAAATAACAAACAAGTTTGAATTCGCAAAAGCTCAAAAGCTTTCATGCTTTTGCTGCAATTGCGCGTTTCATGACTTTGCTAAAAACCAAGGCCTCCGGAGAAATAATTTTTTGAAGTTAAAGTCAGCAGATCGGGAGATTTTAAAAAAATGAGCTTGTAGCCCGAGAGTTGCTCTATTTGACCCATACTTAGTCTTTTTCGGAACTTTGTAATGAAATTTTTGAAAATTAGCTCAACTTTGAGCAGGTAAAATTGACAAGTGGAGAATTTTGGCAATTATCAAAAAAAGCATACAAGATTATGGTATGAATGTGTATCCTTAAGAAAGAGAAGGAAAAGCTGCATCGAATGCAAGTTGAAACTCACTCAAATCTTCATTGTGCGTGGTTTTACAGTGGTTTGAAAAAACCGACAAAACTTTTGGGACAACCTAATATAAACAGAATGAGAAAAATGGGCGATATCTAAGTTACAAATGCTGTAGCAACATTGAGGGAAGGGAAAATTAGAGTTCCATTGCTATTGTAAATATGTAATTAACTCATACCAAATAAAAAAGGAACTTACTTTTCACGACTTCTTGCTTGACTAAGAACAATAACATCGAATTTAATCCAAGCAGCAACATCAATTCTATAGAATGATATGGCTGTCATTGAAAAGCAATTATTTCTTTAAAAAACTGCATCTTTCCACATTGTTTGGACACCAAATTAGTGGGAAACGTGGGCCCGCGTGTCCGATCTGGCGAATTTGATCATGTCGGTCACAGCGGTCTCGATCTCGACGGGTCGGGCTGCGTTGCCCGTTTGGGCGCTGTCCTTAGAATTTCATAAATCGCGGAAAAAGCGCTCTCGCCTGTCCGGGCACTTGTCAATAATGGCCCGAACAGCGAGTTGGAGATTGATAAATACCGCTCTAGGAAGCTGTCCACCTATCCGTAAGTATTCCTACTATCTTATATTTCTGAACCGATTCGGACCAAACTTTGCACACATACACCTCGGGGCAGGGCGGGTGTCATAGGCTACTTTTCGTCATCGATCGATATCGATTTTATTGATTTTTCAAAAAGTTCGAGCTACGCTCGGAGTTGGCACAGGGGGGGGGCAAGTGAGCATGCTGATTACGAATATATTATTGACAGAACCGGGCGGAGCCGGGTTTGCCAGCTAGTACTTACTATAAACTTATTGAACGGGATCGAGAAGTTGTAAAAGCCGCACTCTCCAGCTTTTTGGATAATCCCTTGTTGAATCCCCAGCGGCCGACCGCCTTATCTTCAAAGTCATTTCTCTCCCTCCAAAGTTGATCAAAACATTACAAAGTTGCGCTGGCTACCTGACCCAACAGCGCTAAGCATGTTGGTGATAAGAATAAACGAGATACTGAAAAACCAAAATTCGCGATAAACTCCAACTTTAGGCTTGTGGTTCATCGCGAATTCCATGACTTCAATAAATCATGTGTTCTTATCAGAAGCATGCTTCGCATTTCGCTTAGAAGTTTGGTGAAACTCTGGCCATCTTTTTTAACTCTGAAGAAAGAAAAATGACTTTGGAGTAAAGTGGGTTGCCGGCAGGGATTTACAACTTCTTGCTCTGCTCTGCTTACAGTGAAGTACAGTAGTAATACTTGCGGATAGGTAGACAGCGTAAATTCAGATATCTGAAGCTTAGGAATAAAGCTTGATCTCCTCTCCGAGAAGAACGTTAATGCATGCGACCCAAAGTGTAATCATGTCATCAACAAAACATCGTCTTGACATTATAGGATACTTTGTCGTCTGTACTGGTATGCATGCAAGTTACTTTATGGTACTCTTTATGGAGCTATTTACTTCGGACCCCAAGATGCAACGTTTTTCCCGGTGCTCGGGGTTATGCTAGTCATGATTTACGCACTCAACATTTATTGGTTTAATGTGAGTCCTTTGTATTTTACCAAATATCATCAATCAAAATTGTTTAGTTTATTGCGCGCATGTTATGGAGGGTAATAACAACTGGAGAAGAGCCCGAAGACAATCGTGAGTGGGACACCACTGCAGTGAGCGGTCTCTCACAAAGCTCGCTAGACGCGATAGCAGAAAAGAAAAAACGATGATTGAAATTGTTCCCATTTGTTAATCCAAGCAAATTTTGTATGTATGTATAAGAACATAAATTTTGAATATTTTATAGGCTCTGTCAGGGGATAAATGTATGCGGTTCGTGCAAGGAAAAAAACTTACTAGATAACAAACTCCAAGTCCTCTTATATTGCGATTTGATCGATATATCGAAGGAAATCAATGACATTCCCCGTCCTGGATTCTTATCCATGAAAGTCCGTAATAGAAGACAATAGACCTTTCCGCCCCTGTTCCGCGGTAGAAGCGGGCGGAATCTGCTCGCGTTATCCAAAAACTTGTCCCATAGGAGGCAAAGCGGTGTGATAAAAGCAATTAAACCCTACTTGAGCTCACGTTTGCGAATGAATTATGCGAAAAGTCCGTTTAGAAAGGGTCAAGTTTACCTCTATTTTAAGTGGGCTTGAAAGCCCATACGAATACAATTAAACGCAAATTAGCAGAGTCTCAGAGGCAAGGCATTTGTTTGCTTAATTTGGGAGATGAAATAGGTCTAGTTTGGCCAGATACCGACCAATATGGTGAGAATGTAAGAATGAGTAAACAGGTTGGAACAAACAGAAAAGCTTGCTAGTGCATTATTGTATGGAATGAATGAATTCGCAAGTGCGATATCTTAACGTGTCGCATGGTCTAAGTTCATTTTATTAGCATTCTCGTAAAGCAAATTTCCAATTGGACTTTCGTGGATATCAACCGAGAATATTAGGACTTAGCCATGGTTCAGTTATGAAAAAAGTCTGGACAACGTAGGTGGCGTAGGAAAGCATGAAAGAAGTGCAATTTTTTAGTCAAACTTCAAACAAAAAGCAAGCTTAATGTTCACTTATTATCTGCCATACCTAGGCGTCTTTTGGACATTGGAAAATTTATGACATATGATTGACTTCTTCCCTATCCACTACCCGCTCTTTGACAGCATGATCTCTGTGGAGCCAGCTAGATTCTGTCAATGAATGACGTCAGTGAGTGAAGGAGAAAAATCGAGATTTACGCAATAATTAAGTTGTCTTACAAGTTTTCTCAATTTTGGCTTTCTACGAAGACTTACCAGATCCTGAACTAGCTCACGCATATACATACACTCCACACAAGACATTCATATATGCCTTTGCTGTGTTTGTTTCCGTGTTAGAAACCGAGAAAACTGGATTTTTCAAGCTTCCAAAAAAGCGCTGCTCTGTTCTTGCATAGTTAGGTGTATACTACTCTCCTACGCGCCACTCTCCTCAAAATGTTGTTTTTCCAAAGCGACTGTTCGGGAGGAGCTCAGAGAACTTACTTATTGGATCCACAGTATGGAGCGAATCATCGATCGCTCTCATTACAGTAGGCAACAGGCATTTTAGACCATTGGAGGCCATACACTGCCTCGAAACAAAATCAAACAGCCAAAAACTCTTATACTATAGTAATGGAAGCCGTTGATTTTTGATATAAAATTTCTACTTTAGGCTTGAGATATACCTGACGATAGAGGTATAGCGGGTGTTGGCGAATCGCTGATGTCTGCGCTGCCTTTAGCTGCTCGTGGCTGCTGCGCTGGGTACGCTTTGAATGCATGAACGAAGTAGCCTTACCCATTACTACGCATAGCTTAGGCCATTATGAAAGTAAGTCTTGAGAGCTACCAAAATTGAAAAATATGATTACATGAGATCGAAAAAAGTCATCCTGTTTATCAACATTTTTTTCTTAAGTAGCATAAAATGGCAAACCAAGTATTGCATCTACTAAGTAAATAAATATTTGACAAATATCCGAATGAGTGTCGCAGAAGAACTTGATGTGTGCTTGAAGCAAAAACCGAACAATCTAGGTCATACAGTGACCGCCAAAAAGTTGCGGACAAGCCTCGCCTTTTTCGTCGCTCTATTTCAGAAGGAAAACAAGGATAGAAAAATGTAGTAATTGCATTTGGTGATAGAGCTCTTCAAGATCTACAATCTACACTTTGCGTATTTCGAAAAACATGTATTCCAAAAAAATTTTAAAAACTTTTTCTAAAAAAAGTCGGAAAATGACCGCGTCACAATGTCGCGGACAATAATTCTTCGAACGCAAAAATTTTCTTTTGAGTCCTGCTCTGAAGCGGAAACACAAGTCGGGTGTCCAAACGGGTAAGCATACTACTATACAGAGCTCGTCAAGAACTACACACTGGTTATGGTTGCTTCCCAGAAAACACAAGCTTGAGTTTTATTTTGCTTTTTTTTTTCAAAAATATTAGGTTGTAACAGAATTAATGCAGGTTTTCTGAATTTTGTGTTTGGATCATTATAACTTTTTACACAAACAGTCTTTTCTTGTGCAACAAAAACTGTTGGAATCAGCATACCTTTTTCAACTCAGTATGCATTATTGTTTTGTTGTAGCTTCACTGAGAAAAATCTTATAACCCGAATTCACCCAAGAATTTTTTCGAAAGACCTTCACTTTGAGAAACCATAACTTACTGTCAAATGTAGTAAGGCAGCGCAAATATAACTCACTGTGTAGCCTATGGTCGGTTGTGCAGCAGCGTTAGATTTGAAATTGAAGAAAAATTCTTTGCGAGAGGATATTTTAAAATTTTTTGAAAGTACTCATTTTTTCGACTTTTCTGAGAATTTGAAAAATCGCTTTTCTGAAACTTTTGAATTTTTTCAAAGCTAAATAAAAAGAACGGCTCCCCATTTTTTCAGCCATAAATGTATAGAATCTATGCTTCCTATATATAGCGGAAGCTCCGCAGTCGCTTCGCGCTGAGGATTTTTATATAGGGCAGACGGATCACAGCGACCGTTGAGTTTTGCTCTGGGATTTCTCGGCTCAGATGTTCCCAGAATTCATGACTTAACATGCATTTTGTAACATAGCTCACTCAAAAGTACTATGTAAATTTGCAGCGAATTCGGATTGTTTTTGATGGTTTTAGAGCCAAGTATATTAAAAGAAAAAATTTCGAGATTTGGTCTCATAAATTTATGGGCTCAGAACTTCTAAACAATTTCACTACCATAAAACGAAAAAAGCATAAGAAATTAGAAGAAAAGAGCTTTGAAATGATATGCAAAAGTCTATGTGAAAACACTTTCCCGTTCTAAACCAGCATTTTGAAAAAGGTGCGCGACAAACCTGCATTAATTGTGTTACAACCTAATAACTTCTGATTCTCCTTTTTAAGCCAAGTTTCTTTACATGGAAACCTATTCTCGACATTCCAACAACTCTGTTCGGATAAAGTAGATGCTCTTTACTATTCTTAATGCATCTGACGTGTGCTGATGAGTTTCTTTGCTGAAAATGGCTTCTGACACTGCGTGTACATGACCCCACTTGCACCTCACCACTGACTTGTACCCCTTTGCAGGCTTGTAACTCGGCTTGTAGTCAATTTGTGAGCCTGCAATTAGGCTCATTCGAAAGAACGAGACTTCCTCTACACGATGATTTGCAAAAGAGATGGGTGTAAGAAACAGCGGAGATTTGGCGGATGGGGTGGAAAAATGCGGCCTCAGTGGTGGTTGGAGTGAAGACTCTTATCAACACCAAAACAGTTCTAGAGCTTCAAAATGGATCTATTACAAGAACATTGACAGTTATAAGCTTTCAGGATTGAACTGGTAGCGAAAGAAGCTCTGTTCAACTTTAGCTGGATATCCTCACCCTACCACGGAGGCCGCATTTCCCACCCCATCCGCCAAACCTCCGCTGTTTCTTACACCCTCTCTTTTGCATATCATCGTGTAGAGGAAGTCTCGTTCTTTCGAATGAGCCTAATTGCAAACTCATACATTGACTACAAGCCGAGTTACAAGCCTGCAAATCGGTACAAGTCAGTGGTGAGGTGCAAGTGGGGTCATGTACACGCAGTGTCAGAAGCCATTTTCAGCAAAGAAACTCATCAGCACACGTCAGATGCATGAAGAATGGTAAAGAGCATCTACTTTATCCGAACGGAGTTGTTGGAATGTCGTGAATAGGTTTCCATGTAAAGAAACTTGGCTTAAAAAGGAGAATCAGAAGTTATTTGAAAAAAAAGCAAAATAAACCTCAAGCTTGTGTTTTCTGGGAAGCAACCATAACCAGTGTGTAGTTCTTGACGAGCTCTGTATAGTAGTATGCTTACCCGTTTGGATTACTTGTGTTTCCGCTTAAGAGTAGGACTCAAAAGAAAATTTTTGCGTTCGAAAAATTATTGTCCGCGACATTGTGACGCAGTTTTCGGACTTTCTTTAGAAAAAGTTTTTTAAAATTTTTAGTATACATGTTTTTCGAAAAACGCAAAGTGTAGATTGTAGATCTTGAAGAGCTCTATCACCTCATGCAATTACTACATTTATTTATCCTTGTTTTCCTTCTGAAATAGAGCGATGAAAAAGAGAGGGAGGCTTGTCCGCAACTTTTTGGCGGTCACTGTAGCTGCCGTTAATGTATTGCGGTGTACTGGTAACATCCCACTAAATCGTTGAAATCCTCTAGGTTTTCATCGTTACTCCTTTGATTTCACTTTTGCTTCGCAAAAGTTCTGTGCAGTCGTTCAGATCCAATTCTTTGTCGACTTTGTCAATTCTTCAATGAACTTCTTGTTGACCCATTGCGTTTTGGTCTTGCAAATTTGTCATGGTTCAGTATCGAAACAAGTGCTCTAGAAATCCTTCAGAAGTTCAAAAATATGTTAAAAATGGACAAATCCGAGCAAAAACAGAGTTAGCAGCATGAAGCAGATGGAAGAAGCTCATCAAAAGTGAGCTTCTTATCGCGTAGCAGCAAGGAGCAGCGAGGAGCAGCAACGAGCAGCAAGCAGCAGCGCAGAGCAGCGCAGCATCGCTAGCTATAGCGGGTCTGTTTCGCGTTGGCTGCAGCAGCTAGCAGCAGCAGCGTCGCCTGGCGTCAGTCGATACGCACAAAAGGCGTTGCTGCTGGGAGCGTCTTATCGTCAGCTATATTGACCCATCGTCAGGTATATCTCAAGCCTTACTGCGATTCCTCAAAGTTATCCCAGGTGTACCTAAGGAATTTCAAGCATTTGTCAGAAATGTGATTACACCGTCAAAAAAGCTCAAAACACTCGTAAAAAGTTGAGTAATGGAGTCAGCGTGCACGAAACCCTGGTACACGATTTTTCAAATCATTTGAAAAAATTTCGTCAAATGGCGTATTTCACAATGGATCCACATGCTAGAGATTCTTACCGTAATTCCTACAATAACGAAGGGAGATCGGAGTTTTGCTTTAACTAATCCAAGTTGAACTCGCTTTACAGAATGGTGCCAAGCTCGGCGAAAGACATGAAAGCAAGGGAGCTATCAAACGACCAATCTTATACACATTTTTTGAGACACCCTATATATTGAAAAAATTAATTGAGTCAAAAACGACCAATTAGGTTTTTTCACATAAGGCAAAGCCGAGAAATTCTAAAGCTGTTAAAGGCAGTGTCCAGGCAAGTCTGGACCTATGGGGATCTTACGTGGAAAGTCCCATAACTAAGCCACTGTCCAACCGGCAGCTCAGGTACCCTAACGCCTGAGATACTCCCCTCGAAACTGGACCCCGCGACCGCGTTTCGCATGGATTCATGGCGCAAAGCGTGGATCCTGGCGCGAAACTGCCATGAATCCATGCGAAGACGTTCGCGGGGGGCGTGTTTGGAGGGGAATATCTCAGCCATTAGAGCATTACCTGAGCTGGCGCTTGGGCAGTGCCTTAGTTAGGGCCCAAAAGTACTTTCCACGTAAAGGGCCTACAGGTCCAGATCTGCCTGGACGTTGCCTTTAACTAGGGAGGGTGGGTCATAAAGCAAAACCAAATAAACTTATAAGGGTAGGATACCAACATAATCTGACAAACCAAGAAGAGATGTATAGGGCATACCAGCCACCATCGGTCGTGGGTACCCACGGGATGAGGTTGCGAAAACGCGACGCGGGCAGCGAAATTAGTACCCGAGCGCAAAAGCGTCGCTGTATCTGTGGCTAGAGTTGAATACTGTTCTTTTTTAGCTGATTTGTACATCTTCTCTTGCGTATCTGATGAACTTCATTTCGTACTCAATTGCATGTTGGAATATCTTGTTTTCCGTATTTCACGCGAAATGAGAAGCATAAGCACACTGAAACTTCTTTTCTTTCAAATCAATGATAGAAAAGGTAATTCGGCTTTATGCGGCTGTGACTTGAATTTGACACTTAGATTATATGCCAAATCCGAGATTAGGAGACTTCAGAACTTTGCACACATTGTTTAACGAACTTGCACTTGTTTCTCATCTAATCTCTGGTAGTAAACCAACCAAATAGGGTAAAGAACAAGTAACATTTTCACATTATACTTGTGCAAAGCGTGCTCGAGTCTCCTCAACTCGGAATCTTATATATAAAGCTGAATGTCTGTTTGTATGTATGTATGTATGTCTGTCTGTATGTATGTATGTGTGTACGTATGTTCCGAATAGAAAATTCCATTTCTGAACCGATCCGGACCAAACTTGGCACACATACACTACGGGCCCCGGCGGGTGTCATAGGCTACTTTTCGTCATCGATCGATATCGATTTTATCGATTTTTATCGATTTTTTTGCTGAGTTCACCTACGGAGCTGGGAGTTGGCACAGGGGGGTAATCGAGCATGGGGATTCCGAATACAATATTGGTTTTCAGGATTATCGATTACTTTTATCGATTTTATCGATTTTTTTGCAAAGTTTGAGCTACGGGGCTGGGAGTTGGCACAGGGGGGTAATCGAGCATGGGGATTCCGAATACAATATTGGTTTTCAGGATTATCGATTACTTTTATCGATTTTATCGATTTTTTGCAAAGTTTGAGCTACGAGGCTGGGAGTTCGCACAGGGGGGTAATCGAGCATGGGGATTCCGAATACAATATTGGTTTTCGGGATTATCGATTACTTTTATCGATTCTATCGATTTTTTGCAAAGTTGGAGCTAGGGGGCTGGGAGTTGGCACAGGGGGTATTCGAGCATGCTGATCATCCCCAAGGGGGGTGATCAGCATGCTCGATTACACCCCTGTGCCAAATTCCAGCCCCCTAGCTCAAATTTTCAAAAAATCGATAAAATCGATAAAAGTAATGGACGATCTTGAAAACTAATATTGTATTCGTAATCTGCATGCTCGATTACCCCCTGTGCAAACTCCCAGCCCCGCAGGTCAAACTTTACAAAAAAATCGATAAAATCGATAAAAGTAATGGACGATCCTGAAAACTAATATTGTGTTCGTAATCAGCATGCTCGATTACCCCCCTGTGCAAAATCTCAGCCTCGCATGTCAAAATTTACAAAAAATCGAGAAAATCAATAAAAGTAACCGATAATTCTGAAAACTAATATTGTATTCGGAATTCCCATGCTCACTTCCCCCCTGTGCCAACTCCTAGCCCTGTAGGTGAACTCTGCGAAAAAATCGATAAAAATTGGTAAAATCGACGTCGATCGATAACGAAAAGTGGACTGTGACACCCGCCGGGGCCCGAAGTGTATGTGTGCCAAGTTTGGTCCGGATACGGCGGAGCCGGGTAAGCCAGCTAGTATATGATAATTTCCTGCTATGCATGAGCAAAATGTGCGCGTTCACCGTTCCTGCTTGAATATTTTTCATTCGAACAGCGCCACCATCTGAAATGTCTAGTAATCGATACAAGTACGAAATCTAATGCCTAACAAGAGAATGTAAGGTAAACAAGATGAATCAACGTCATGAGTTTAAGCACAAGGCTCGCTTTCGCGCTCGAGTGCAATCTCCTTTGCTCGCGTCGCGCGCGCGCTGCCTCTTCCCCTGGGTATCCGCGACCGATGGTGGTTGGTATGCCCTATATGTCAGTAGACGCACCTTCAAACGCTGATTCCAAATCTGCTTTCATTTTCTGCGGAGCAACTCTCTGAAAGAAGTTTTGAGCCTTTGAAAGTGCAAATTTCCCAAGTTTAATGGCATAAAATTGGCAAAAGCTGTACAAAAACACATGAAAGTGGGTTGACGGTTTGGTATCATCCGTACTGACTATAAGGAAGGAACAGCTAGTGAAAGTCCGCTAGGTGTTGTTTTAAAGCTTTTAGCTAATTTTAAACCTTTTCAAATGTAACAAATTTAGACTTTCAAGTGCTCATAACTTGTTTCAAAGATGTGTTCATCAGAAAAGGAAAGCAGCTTTGGAATCAGCGTTTGAAGGCTCGTCTACTGATATATAGGGCTTATCAAATTGAGTGTCGTTTGCACCAGCATCTCCATCTTCGCGCTGGACTCTGCGTCTCTTCCGCAGGGCTGCTCTCTGAGCACTTTCCCAGGGCGAGCGTGGGAAAGGCGGAGCATCAATCGATTGGAAGTGATTAGGGAGCGTGTACCGCAGAAGAGACGCAGAGCCCAGCGCGAAGATGGAGATGCTGGTGCAAACGACACTCAATTTGATAAGCCCTATACATGTCTTCCTTGTTTGCCAGATTATGTTGGTGTCCTTGCGTTATTGGATTCGTTTTACCAATGTGAGCAACCGAAATTCGGAATCCAATTCTTGAGTGGTTTTCTCAGTTTGCTTGTATCGTTGCCGTAAAAGAACTGTGAATTTAGCATACCATAAAAGAGCAAGACCTTTTCTCGCTATTTATAACTTCAATTGGCTTGACGGCTGAAAGGCGGGGCTTCTTGACCCAATTAAGGCTATGTAATGATCAAAGAGCACGCGCGCGCGAGAGACGCAGACTGCATCGCGGATGCGAGCGGCCTTAATTAGGTCACGAAGCCCCGCCTTCCAGCCGCCATGCCTGTTGAATTAAAGGTTAACAAATCTAACGATTTTCTGGTTCGAGTCACGAGATCAAAATGAGAGTGCAAGTCATGTACACTCAATGTATATTGCGTAATTGTCCCTCAGCCAACCCATTAATCTTGAGCAGTAGCTGTGAAGTACAATCAATCGAGCATGTGTAAAGATCACTTGGAGCGAAACTGAGCGAACGTGACGCTTTCAGTGGTGGTGCTTCTCAAGCTCGGCAATCACTGATCATCCCATTGCAGCTCCAATAACATAGCTATAGCTGGCGGCCAGCTGCTTCTTCAGTCTCCCCCTTCTCATTGCAATAAAGCAATATCACAACGCTGTCTCTACTCACCATGTCGCATGTACGAATTCTATTTTTTGCTATTATTTTGCAGTCTTTCATAGGTAAGATTTTTGCGTTATTTTTCCAGTTATTTAGATTTCTACGTTGCCAAACTAACAATGGAAGCATGCTTAGTCGAAGCGGCCTTTTTGGATAGGATGTATACGATGAAGAGCGTAAAACGCTGATTCTAGATTGCCTTCCTTATCTTCGGAACATTTGTGGACGGGTAGTCAGGACCGTTTATTGAAGCAGAAAATTGAGTATACACTGAGAAAAAATCAAAATCTAAAATCAATCTAAAATCTTACTAGCCCCCAAGTAAAGCAACCAAGTGTGATATATCTTTTTATATCTTAGAGCTCTTAGAGTCTCTTAGAGCTCTTAGAGTATTTATTGAATAAAATGCTCTTATGATTACAGTGCTCCAAAATAGGGCCAGGAAAAATAATGAGAGTTTTGTTGTCCAACATGTATTAGATTGTCCCATAAATCTTTTCATATTTGACTTTACATCAACACAAGTCAGTTCCTTGTATTTTCAATGGGATGCGAGGTACCTTTCGACAGATTAAATCAAACATGATGGTATTCAAAAGTTTGCATCAAGCTCCGCCCGCATTGAGTTTCAAGCAAAAATTCAAAAAATTTCGAATTCCCGAAAAATGAAAATAATCGTATCTCAATTCAAAACAGTTCTGCTAATTTCCCATTCGCTCACGCGTACACTCTCCCCAACAGATATCTGTACATACATTTGCTGCATTTTTTTGATGGCTAGAAAACAAGATAAAAACTTGAAAAATAAAATTTCAAACTTTGCCCGTAGCACCTCTGTGTTCCTCGCAAATATACGATTATATAGCCCATTCGCTCAAAAATGCTGCCACAAAATTGTACCCTTGTAGGTCCCTATTTCTCGAGAAATATCGAGTTGAAGGTTCGAATATGAAAAGACTTATGGGACAACCTGATGATTTCTCCCCGCCCATAAATGTTTCGCAGGTAAAGAAGTCAAATTTAAAATCAGCTTATGCTCTCCAACATGGTATACATCCCATATGAAAAGGTCATTTCGACTAAACACACATCCTTTGTGGGTAAGCCATGCTCATGAAGAAAAAAAGTTGAGGGTATGCTTGAACTGTATTGGAAAAACCTTGACGACTTTGCACTATCAAGCGTCAAATTGGTTATGCAGCAGCTACAACAAAAATATTAGGGTGTTATATAAATCTTGATACACTCTAATCTACCACATCAAGTCACACTTCTTATTTTTGATGAAAGTTCAAAACCAAATCTAAAAGTTCTGGATGCCCAGAGAAACGAGAATAATCATATTTTCGCACAAAAATTTCAATAGATCTCTCTCGCAGATGCGCTCTTCATCAGACGATCATATATACTATAGCTGTATTTTTTCCTCGGCTAGAAATCGATTATACAAGTTTTCATGCTCTTACAAAACGAAGCTACTCTTTTCCAAACAAGTAGTTGTATACCACAGGCTCTTAGAAGTAAAAGCGCATTTATAACTTACAAATCGACTGTAACCTATGCAAAAGGTCTTGATCTCTGACCGTACTGATACCGCTTTCGCATGCTCAAACTATACGGAGGCAGATTTTTAGAATAACTTTAAACCATCGTTTACTACTAGAGCTGTTTAAACCTAGCATTAGCGAATGAATAAAGTCCTTTCCACATATGACAGCAAAAAAACTCAGTCATAAAAAAGATGACGTTTGGAAAATACCTGCAAAATTTTATATTTATGGTCCCTCCTCTATGTTCAATCTGCCCTAATACTCCTTTGCGAACTACAACGACCCGAAAATTTGCAAACTTGCAAGTAGCGACTCGTATTTTGCCGAAATTGCCACTGGTGTTTGGTCGATTCCACGATCACTAGAATAACAGAGACTATGTGTAAACAAGTGATGATGCGGGTATTATTCGGGCCGCCCGTACGTTAGTGTAAGAACGATAGTCTTCAAGCAACTTTACAGTTCCCACTTCTCAAGGGGTTTCCTTCGTATCGCCAATACTCCTCGCTTCGAATTGATGATGCAGATTAGCTGAAATTGTTTTAGGACTGATGCACTTTGCAGCAGCTAGTCTAAATCGTTCAATGATTCTAGATTTATCGAACTTTTCTCTAATGCACTTTCATGGAACGTGGTCACCAATTTCGTTTCTGTCTGCCAACTTCAAACAAATCATTATCCTAATTTCAAGAGTGTATAGGACGCGGGGGATTTTTTCTAAAATCAAACGCCGCTTAAATAATCGAAAAAGGTGCGTCCTATACTTGTGAAATTAGGGTAAGTTGTCTAAAGAACAATTTAGTTTTGGCATGAAATTCTTCAAAAAAACTTTTCTTGTCGTTTTTCATCCAGTTATTTTAGGAAAATAGTTCAAAGCTTTTTTTACCCTATTTTTATTCACCAGGATTTTGTATCACCAGTTACAGTTGAGCCCCAATTTAAAAAATCTCATTTTTGCGACTTTCCAAACTTCGTTTTCATCCTGTAATTTAATAGATAAAGAATCGTTAGAATTCAAAAATCTTCCAATAGCGGGAAGCCGCGGCGGGTCCCAAAGCGAACGCTCTTCCAAACAGCACCTTTAGATTACTGGTTCACTAGTCTAATATATAAAAAAATCGTAAGGTGCATTTAAAAATCATCAGATGGCGGGAAACCGAGCGGGTCCCGAAGCGAGCGCGCTTGCAACTAGCGCCCTTAAGATTACTGGTTCACTAGTGGATGTAGAGAACAGCAGTTTGCTATTTTACAGGCAATTTCCCTATTTAGCGAATAACAATAATAAATTTGACCTGCCAGTTCATTAGCGAAATCAGTATTTTCAATTTTTTTTTCAATTTATAGGAATTCAGTCCCTTGCTATTGCTGTAATGGTATGCCCCTTACTACGGGGCTAACATAAACAAGAAATTCAACTTTCTAGTCGCATTCTGTAATTACACCGAATGCACATAGATTATGTCCATATTTGCCTAATTTCTATCCCTTTTTCGCTTTATTCTGGCCTTCTTATATCTTTCCAGTAGTGCACATTCCACCCCCCCCCCCACCTCTCACGAACTTTCCCATGGTCTACGATCAACCTATTGATTTTTTTGGTCGCGCTACCCGACGTAAACAACAAACAGAAGATGCAGTGTGACGTTCATTTGCATTCCACAACAACTGCTGCCATAGGTCTTTGGCTTATTAGCGATGTTTTCCACCTACTTAAAGCAAGTTTTCCTCACTGTCAGTATCAATTCGTCATTTATGGTCTTTTCATATCTTTTAGACATAAAACAGTGACATTTGTGTTTACTGCAAATTTAAAAAGTCCTTCATTTAGAAGGATTAACGGCCAAATACAAGTGACAAAACAAAGAATGTTTCCATTTAGGTCTAGTCTAGCTATGATCGGCTCCCAGATTCGTGTGGAGGCGGGTTGCCGACTTCCCTGATTTTTAGGATAGTCTTGTTAAACCTGCACGTTATAGCATTGTATTTCGTACTCTCTCGTTAAGCTTATCAGGGAAGTCTGCAATCCGCCTCCACACGAATTGAGAGCCGATGATAAATTTTTTGGGAGAGGAAAATTACACTGGATTACAAGCGTGATCTTAGCTGATTGCCTTGATACAATGCGCCGCTGACAACACCTGTACGTAAAGATTGGCCACCGGGCGCAGATTCCCACATTCCCGTCAAAATCCTTGAATTCCTCCATAATGAATGTTAGGAGGAGGACTTTTGTAATCGGCATTCCCTGAATGTAGGCGGAGTTGAAGACTGCTTAGAACGTAAGTTGTAGAATTAGCTTAGAATAAGCCTGCGGATACAAATTTTGAAATTGACTGCTGCTCCAATGCAAAATTTTGTCATTTGGACTCCTCTTTGCCGTGGAGCATGTTCTACGTTTTAAATGTCGCTTCACAAATATAAAATCTGCAGAGTGCTGTACTTAAGACTTTGTGAATGGAAGAGATGTGAGTTCGACTTTTGTAGCTATTCTGCGACAAAAATATACTTTTGGTCAAACATCGCCCAGAGAGCTAACCTTCAAGTCGCATCGATTTTTTGCCGTCTGCTCGAGGTGTTTTGTCGAATTTTTTGAGAAAAAGCAACTGTTCCATCGATAGCTGTTCCGTTCAATTCGAAATCATGTTAAGTGAACTAATAATAAAAGTACGCCGATTGATCGATCTTTTGAAATGGATGAAATGTCGTTTTTTCTTTTCCGCTATGAGATAATCATTCGAGATTTTCAGGACGTTGTGCAATGACATCTGTTACCCTGCATGGAGTTACCGATACACTGCCACCGCAATACGAGAAGGTAATTTTGAATTGATTTTTTGTAATTTACTATGATTATTCTGTTTGTTTTCCTTGTCTCATATCACCAATTGATAATCATTACACGGTTTTGAATTTGATGTGCAGCCCTACTTTTGGCTATAAGTCATAGTAGATTCAAAAAGTGCTAGAAGAGTCATTTTCTGCTTCTTCTGCTTTGTGCAATAGTCTTTGATTTCCTTTTCATGTTTCACAGTTACTGTTTTCTGGCGGTCGGGCAGGAGGCAGCAAAGGCTCGCCGCTTCTGCTTATGGAAGTGCCTAAGGAACTTCAGACTTCCTCGCGCCTCTAATTACTTCTTCGCACTTCTAATTACTTGATATGACCTACGCCAAATTGAACGCTGATTTCTTAAAGCGTGTCAAGTTTTGAGATGGCTTTTATGTTTTGAATTCATAGCAGATAAGATAACAAATTCAAAAATTACTCATAGATAGCCATTCAACGTCCAATGATTTGAAAGTATAAATTGGTCTATTCATTCAAACCAGAATCTCAAACATGTCAATCTTTCTCAGTTATTCCGATCGAAGGCAAGGACTTTGAAGACTGATTGCACTCGTCCTTTATTCTGCGACAGAATACTTCCTTCTGTTACGATTGGAGCAAATGCCCTGAACCCAATATTTGAATAGGCCGAAAACGATTATAGCTGAGATTGAAAGAAATTGCAAGATTCTCAAATTGATCCAGGATGAGATCCTCTTCAAAAAGATTCTCGTTCAATCCTCGAGCTTGTAAAGTAATCAGAGGTGCGAAAAGTGATTAGAGGCGCGAGGAATCTGAAGCTCCCCAGGCACTTCCAGAAGCAAATGCGGTAGGACTTTGCTGCCTCCTGCATGACGTCCCTGTTTTCTCAATCATAAGTAACTCATGTCGGCACGCCGTTGCTTTTACTGCAATTGCAAAGGTGGTGCGACTGCGCAAAGTGACTGTTGCTAGATTTTGAGTGTGGTCTTGCAGCGGAATTTGAAGTGCATTCAATTCAGTCTCAAGCGTGCTTGAAAGTTTATTTTCTGCTCTATTTTATTGCGCACTATTCTTATCTAATAGTTTTAAAATTCATTTACCATGAATGAAAAACCGGGGTGCATTCGAGTTCTTCGTCATATCCTTGGTCATGTATTAGACTTTCTCCATTTGTTCCGCACCAAGATTCTTGCCCGAAATTGGCAGTACGATGAGGTTTGAATACGAATGATACTGATTTCAGTATGCATCAGCTCTAAACACTGCAGCTGAAGCTTTTAAAGAAGCTGAAGCATTGTTCAATGATCAAGATTTTATCGACCGAAATGGATGGAAGTCCGATACGGAGAACGACGAAGGCGACGTAGTTTACGCGAAGCATACGCCAAGAGGCAAAATGGTCACCGTACAGGTGCGTAATTCATATCTTTGCTTATGCATGGATTCTCCTTTATTTTCTTTCTGCTTGGACTGTTTCAACTGCATCATTCTAATTGATTCAGACGACGTTAGACCTTGATGTTGACTCAGTTATGCAAGAAACATGGACAGGTGTCGAAGGTTTGCCCAAATGGAATCCAAACATTAATTTTGCGGAAACAATTGATTCGCCCACTCCCAATTTCGATATAATTACGGTGAGTCATAGCACTGGATGTTTCACTTGTGCATCATAATCTGCAATAACAAACAGGCAACCAGATTGCTCGATTTTCTCTTTTATGTGGAAAAATTCGTTGATTTTTTTGACAAAATGAGGAAAAAATACCTAGCATTTTTTACACCTTTGGTCACGTCATAGTTTATCCACTTGATCCACTTCGCTATTGGTTAAGTCAGCGAACTGACCAATAGCTAAGTGGATCAAATGGATCAAGCGAATCCGCTTCGCTACTGGTCAGTTCACCGATTTTACCAGTGGCCCAGTGCATCAAGCGAATCAAGCATCAAGTGGATCAACTATGGCGTGTGCCTTTTTTGTGTCGTGTTTGCAGCTGGAGGGATCAAGCTTTCAAGGTCACTGTCATTGTGCTCTCGCAATACAAAAATCTGTCCGTATCTCTCTATATTACTGCCAGTTTTTTTGAGTGATAACCTCCAAGAACTGAATTAGAAATGCTGTATATTGTTCTGCCCATATGTTTAGTTTCATAAATGACTTTTCCAGTATGGAAATAATGACGTCCTGATTGTGAGTGGCCGAGAGTTCATATCTGCACGGATTTATAGAAAAGTGGGTGATGGCTATATTATGGCATCTCGAAGTGTGGATCTCGAAGATCGTCCCGAAAAAGAGGGGAAAGTCCGGTAATATTCCATACCCTTTTTCTAGTTCTTTTTATTTCAAGTAATCGTCTTTGAGTTTAATGTTGAATGCATTATTCAAGAAGACTTCTTTTGGGATCTTATGTGTCTTTCTGACTTCAATGACATGGTCAACCCATTTTCTGGCCCTTAGAATCTGAGTTCTGCATTAGTAATAGCGCTTTTTTTTTCAATGTGTTGTCTGATAGTTCTCAGCTTTTGAGAGTTCTCTGAACTAAATGAAACCTTTGTCATTCCAGAGCGCAGCTCATATTGGCCGGTGCATTCTTCAGACCTCATCCAGAGAAAACCAACAAAACATTAACAGACGTGGTTATGCTCGCTGATCTCAAAGGATTACTACCTAAGATTGTTGTAAATCAAGTATGTTGTCATCTTTCTGCTTTATTGCACTCAAAAATGAGTTCATTTGCAGGTGCTTGGCAGAATAATGATATCGGATGCCGAAAATAATAAGAAGCACTATTTGGATATCGCAAAGGAGAAAGGCCTTGAGGATTGATATCTTTCGTATAGGATTATTCAATGTTATTACGAGTAAGGAACTGAGATTATTGTCAAAGAAATAAATAGAGAAAAATCACTTGTTTTGACCTACAGTGTTTGCAAATTTTTTTCAAGAGGAGGTCAAATATGTAAGTATGCAAATAAATAGTCCATGATGCACTGTTTCTCATAAGGAAGAGCTCCCTAGTCAGCTCGGCCAACTCGGATGAGTCATACATTACCTAACTTGAAATGCTGATTCCATATCTGCTTTCATTTTCTGCGGAACGACTCTACGAAAGAAGTTAAGGGTTCGAAAGTTCAAATTTGTCATGTTTGAAGTGGCTTATAAAATTAGCGAAAAGCTCTAAAACAATACCTAGCAGATTTCCACTGGCTGTTTTCCGTTCTTGTAGTCAGTACTTGATACAAAACTGAAAACCCACTTTACGTGATATTGTACAGCTTTTATGCAGCTTTTACCAATTTTGCGCCACTTAAGACTTGACAAATTTGGACTTTTAAACGCTGATAACTTCTTTTATTTAGTTGTTCCGCAGAAACCAAAAGCAGATATAGAATACGCGTTTTAAGCCCGTTACGGTGATATATGGCTCATCCATTGAAATTCTGCCATTGAGTTGTGCGGATGAGGTTTAGCCTTATTACAACAATCCTCAACGGCAGATGACATTTGTTGAAGAGTGATATGTGATTGGTATTGATAAGATGTCACTTGTTGACGTAAACAAGTTAGTTATATATATGTGGTGTGAGAGTCATGGTTACTCTCGGTCTTGTGGCTTGCTCTCTCGGATAAAGACTTCTGCATCCGCTCCGGTACATAACAATGGTAATCAGGGACAAAGCTCACTATGCGAAGAAGAGCCGCTACCAAGGACGGCCGAACGCTCAAGATCAAGGATGGCTGAACGATCGACGCCAGACGGCAGCACCAGGGATGGAGGAAATCTCATTCTTGCTCTTATCGAGCAAATGAGGATTCAACACGAAGAACAAGTGAAGATCAGAAATAAACGAGGCATGCACAACATTAAGAAATCATGGTGCTGCTCAAGACCCTCCAGAAGAACCAAGATCTGGACAGTACAAAAGAAACCTGCGACCAAGTCATCTGTGACGTACAGAATTTTGTGCCTAACAGTATTACACTCATTATCAGTAACTTTTCAATAGCTTCGGAGGCATACTATACTCCTTTGATAGCAAATGTTGGCTCAGTGAATGTTTTGAACAACCATGACGTCGATTTCTGCTCGGCTTTGAACTTAAAGTCAAGCGATAGCTTTTGATTACAGTAAGCACTTCTTTTGTTTGGAATCAGTACCTGCCAAACAAAGAGGTTTTCTCCGTTTCTCAGAGTGATAAAATGAATGCAGATTGTAGTAGACTCCCGAAAACTAATCCTGGAGGAAATTCCGTCGTACTGAGATCAGCTATAAGAGTATGAAGATGCATCTAAATGTAATCTGTTTTGGTACACGAACTTCAGCGATATTAAATTGTTCAAGAGTTAAGGACGAGCCATTTAACTTTTGACGAAAAGAATGGCAGAAACAATTTACTTAGCGGTGAACCAGCTTGATTCCCTAGTCTTTCATAGTTTCTGCTTCAAAAATATCAGAGAATCCGACCATACACTTTTCAGAAGAAGAGGGATATTCAAGAGAACATGTGCTTTGCTGGGTAACTGCAATGAAAGCATAGGGTGTTATGATTATGCTAGGGGAAGAATGCATACGCTGTTCTGTGATTCAGAGTATTGAACATGATTTTTGTAGTTCAAACTCGCAAAAAAAGTGATTAGACAAATCTGGACTATTTTTTCACTTCGAAGTTTGATAGAACAACCCAGCTCGTAAACGATCTTCTAGACAATTTGTGGATATTTGTTAGAAAATGAAGAAATGTGCGCTTTGATTATCCTGGCTGCACGGAACGTGAACTCGAGATTATGGTTGAACCGAAAGGTTCTGTCGCACCATTTTGAAGCTAGGATTAGAAAGCCTGCTCAAATCTATCGAAACACGGATTTTCGCGGCTTAAGTTTATAAGAGAGCAGCTAAGAAGCCATTAAAAAGTACATAATTTACTCTTCTCAAAAAATCAAATCCATGCAAGGACATTGTGATAGGAAAAGTTACGATTGAAAGTGGTGCAACAGAAATTTCTATCAACCCAATATAATTCCTGCTCACTATTCCGTAAGGAATGACAGACTCGTTACATTATGAAATTCCATAGGCGTTGGGCAGGCATATGCTTCATCTACGAAAATTAATCAGATGAATCACACATCAGATGATTCAAATCCTAAAGAACATCAGCCATAAAAGGCGACAGAAAGCTTAGCAAGCAAATGTTACAACAGCTATCTTTGCTGGAGACTCACTATTCTTTTTTTTTCAGAATGTGGACATTCGTGTTGTTTTATGCAACGTTGTGCGCGATAAACGTTTTTTGTGTGTATCAAGAATGGTACGACAACTCTCAAAGTGCTGAAAATTATGGTTATTACAGCGCAGGATCACAAGGTGAGCAACAGCTCACCAAATTCCGGAATATCTCACAACATACTCAATCAGAATGAGGTCTGTAGACAAAACTTCAATAAACCGCAGTGCTTAGGCAGACCATAGATAGATTTATTCCGGTTGAGAATACTTCTGACTTCCGCTCAGACCGTAATCAGTAGGCGAATCAGCGCCCTCGAATACGGTAGAAAGTAGGATGCGCCAGGTGTGAATTTGAATTCTAAGCTGAACTCAAAGGCAGTGGTTTGGAAAAATTGCGACTGCGACCCTTCCATAACTACATGGCCTTCTGAATCCGCTGAGTCCGGGGCTGTGCTTGAAAAGTCAAAAAAGTGCTTTTTTGGCGTTTGCCGGCTTTGGAGATTGCTGAGTGGGCTGGCAAGGGATTCCTGCCAAGAACGGCGACTAGCTGCAGGATATTGTAACTCCACCCCTTTTGGCGGCAATTGGATAGTCCAGGTAGCCAATCACGACTCAGCTGGCGGAAATCACCCCAACCCGGAACCATAAAAACACTTTCTGACTTTTCAATCACAGCTCTGGAGTCAGCGCATCCAGAAGGCCAAGGAGGGATGGAAAGCTCGCAATCGCAATTTTCCCGAGGTACTACCTTCAAGCAATGAGTGTTACGGTCGAAACAATTACCATGTGACCTTTCAGGCTTCCCTAGACGCTGCCTTCAAGCATGACACTTTTTTATTACAAAAGTATAGCGCACAAGATAACCTTTTACATCATCTGTTCTGCAACCTCACTCGGGGTAAATAAGGTAGTATTATACCGGGCTGACGGTCTGTTTGAGCAGTAGGGGACCAGTCAAATATTCTTTTGTACATAGGAACCGCAAGATTTTTATGATAACTCAAGCGGAGGAATAGACAGCTCCTTGCGTCATAAAGACAGAATATTTTCTCCTTGCACTTCACTCATCTCAATTCCGATCTGCTTTATCATGCAATGTCAAGCATTCGAAAATATGTGAAGCTTGTCTTTATTCTCTTTCTTCTCCTCCTTCTCATTTGGTACAATTCCCTGTTCTTACTCCCTCTAAAATCACAGAACTCAAAAATGCAACATGCACTGCATTCACGCTGGTACTGAAGAGGCTTTTTTGTCATCCGAGATCCTGCTGAAGGATTCTTGCCTCTTCCGCTGCTTCAGTATGGGTTGAACTTCGTGAAAGGAAAAGTATCCCAGCCGCCATTGTCATCGAAAATTAATAGGTCCCGAAAACCTCTTCAGTCCCCCTTCGCCAAATAATTTACATCAAAGCTTTTCAACTATTTTTGAAGTAAAGCAGCAACATTAAATTTTAATTACCAATAATGATTTAGGGGTGGAGTGGCGCAGAATTCAAAATATAATTAGAGCGCAGAAGGGTGAGCAGATAAGCGAAATAGAGGTTACTGGAAAGTATTTGCCTCTATTTTTATTGGAATGATGGGAGAACATCTGTTCGAAGTAGGTAATTCCCAGTAAATTGGAGATCATTTAAGGTGTTCAAAAATTCTTTGTTGTTTTACTTTCACAAGCAGAGAGCTGGTGCGCCGAGTCGGTATCGTACGTCACCGGTGTCAAAGTAACACTTTAAAAAAATGTTAACTTGCTTCACATGTGGAGGACGGGTTTTTCTCTACATAAAGTTAAATTTCGTTGAGCCTCTTTGAAAAAATGGGTCTGCAAGCGAAAAAGTACCCAAAAAAGGTAGGGTCATCCAGTAACGACCGTGTGATTTTGGACAAATAGGGAAACCAATTATAGTATTCTAAGTAGAGTGCTTTGCAGAAAAGCATTTTTCAGTGCTCAAGTGATCGACAATCTTTGCAGGACAACTAAAAGCTGATGAGATCTGGACTCGCTGTCTATCTGGTCGCCGTTATGTACAGCTTGGTGCCTGCTCTCAGCATTTTATCGAATGTGGTCACACTACCTATATGGTTAAATCGTGTCTATCCGAGGAGGTAAGCTTAGTGCGATTATCACACAATTAGATGAATAGCTTCTTAGGTATTTGTGACAGATCGCTGCGTACCTGCCAGGCAAGCTGGATGTGAGAGATGGTATGGAGAGACCATATATCTAGCTGAGGTAAGCCACTACACTTTTGTGAGATTTCATGCATTTAGCTCACGAGGCCAATTTTGGGCCCTTGGGCACACCGTAGACACCAAACAATTACCATATATACCCAAACTCTACTTTGCCAAACAAATACGATCCAAACTTTTCAAATAGTATACAATTGAGAAATTGACCGCCATTGCTTTCGCGGTAACCAGATAATGACGACTAATGATGGTGCGAAAGTCAAACTGTATCCTTTGCTTCAATTAGATTGGCTGCTGGAAGGCGAGGCTTCATGACCTAGGAGGCAATTGCTCGCGTCCACGACGCAGTCTGCGTCTCCCTCGCAAACATGCTCTCTGATCATTTTAGCCTTAATTAGATTAATGGAGCCCCGCCTTCCAGCCGCCGATCTGGTCTAGTTGAAGCAAAGGATACATTAGCGGGAATCAAGAAAAAATATGGAAGATGAGGGCTGGAGCCGGAGTAATTAGAGCGCAATTTTGATGACAGAGGCTGTGGAAGTTATGCTGCGGCTGGCGGCGAGGTATGAAGGCACCCCTAAATTCTCTGTAACAGGACAACATTGAAGTTGGAAATGAAAATCGGTTGGTGGAGTGTGGACGCGATTATACAATTTTGGCCCCCTGGATTGAGACAGACTATACAAGCGTTTTGAAATTTCAATCATTTGCAAGTGCCTTGGAAAAATGAAGTTATTCTTTGGAAAATTCACATGTATCAAGGGTTATTTAGGGTTCTTGCATGGAAGATGATGTCATACCTTCGACTGATTGTGAAACGTACCAGATATGCAGTAGTGGTTCTTACCGTAAAGTTTCCTGCTACGATAACTCTGGAAAGCTTGCTGGTTTGCCTGCACTTCAGACCAGAAATTATTTTCCCTTTTCAAAAATCATTTCAAAAATTCCTTGCAGTTGCGTGCTCGCAATGCTACTCTGCCTATCCGATGGACCGACAGAACTTCCCTGGGCAGTGCTCAAATGGAGAAACAATTCCACATCCACAAGATTGTGCCGCATACTATGTGTGTTCGGATCGATATTGGTTCTACCAGAGGTAACATGCATAGAAGACTTCGGATGAATGGCCTAAAGTTATCAATGCAATTATATTTTAATTGCGCACTATAACGTTTTAGCGTAAGTGAAACAACCTTCACCTTTTTTGTGTCTAATAATGCACTATTTTCTGAGGAATCTATCAGATTTTTTGCGACGCGTAGACTACTTTGGGTCATCAAGTTCGTTGGCGACAGTAGATAAAAAAATACAGCACTCTATTGTCCCTATTAGGTTATCCCAAAAGTAAATTCCATTTTCAAATAAATTAACCTGATCTGGTTCTCCTAACAGACTTAAGGTACCATTCGATAGGGCGAAGCAAGCTCTACAAAACCACCAAAGATCCACCTTAGTCGTAATCCAGATATCTGGGGCCAAAAATCAAGATTTTTCAGCTACCCTAAAAAGCGGATCTCCTTCTAGAGAACTCCTACGGACTTTCAACTTGGTCTTGATATAGTAGACATATAGTAGTACCCAAAAATGTATTTGGAGGTTTTTTTTGGGGCTCAAAATTGAGAAAAAAGATGGTCTGAAAATGCTAAAATACCACCTTTTCGAGTTTTTTTAAATGTAAAATTTGGTATTTCTCGAGTGTAGGAGCACATACGGGGGGTAAGTTTTTGAAATTAAGTAAGGCTTGTAGTATACAATGACATATGTGGGAGGGCCTGAGGACGGAGTTTGCCATTTTTGGACGAATTTTGTTTCTCGCTATGCTTGGAAAAGTTCGGTAAAGGCATATTTGAGTACTACTACGTGCTTACTATATAACGACCAAGTTGGAGGTCTGTAGGATTCTTTATCGCAGAAATCCAATTTTCAGGTGACAAAAGTTTTTCCTATTTTGGCTTCAAACTTTCCACGGACTGCGACTTAGGTGGACCTTGGCAGCCATTTTGTAGAGCTTGATCGAATGATAACCCAAGTTTACTGGGAAAACAAAAACAGCTTGAACTATTCGAAAAAGGAGTTTACTTTTGGGACGACCTAAGATACGATGAATCTCGGAAGTTGTAAGTGTAATTTTGTTACAAATACCTCCCATGCTATAAGTCTTTCTAAGTCCGTCTTCATTTTAGCTAAACGGATTTATAAATCTCAATAATTGTTGAACCTTCCAGCGCAAACCTTAAATATTGACACACAAGCCATGCCATGTGTTGTACTCTCCGCTGAGCTCTGAAAATTAAAACATTTCTATTGTTCGTCTTTCGCTATTTTCCCGTTACTTTCTCCGTCTAGTTCTGTTTGCCCCAGCTTTAAAGAGAATATACCCTAATTTCACGCGTTTGAGGCGCACTTTTTCGAATTTGAACGAGCCGCTCATCCGCTTCACTGTAGTCCGGAAAGAAATCCTTACATCGCACGATTTTCTCAAGCAATATACAGCACGTTATAGGGTCCTTTGGTTGTAAAGTCCTTTGGCTTGTCTGGGCTGGTTGACTTTGGACAAAAACCGCGCCTTATACGCGTGAAATTAGGGTACTTTTATATTAGGTTGGCACATAAGTTTTGCAACTTTTCCCGTAACTTTTTTCCTATTTTATGTAGCATTCTCATTTCGTGGCATCATGTAGATCGTGATGTAAGCTGCAAGTCTGCGCAAACCGTTTGATTTTTGATAACGTAGTACAAAAAATCTAAGCAATTTTTGAAAACTGCTGAAAATCGAGGTTTTACGATTTTTTGGCAAACATGAAGCCCTACGAAACCTGATTCAAACATATGAAAAAGCAATTGTAGGCAGCATGTAGCTGGAAGTTGGCACATTGGAATCAGTGAAAAAGAAATGAAATTTAAACACAAATTAAGGTGGGGCGCCTTTGAGAAGTTGATCAAGTCAAATGCGTCAAGTTTTGAAGGCAATTTGTCTATATCTAAGCTGCGAAAAGTCAGAATTCGCTATAACTTTGCACTATAGGGTAATCCTATGCGGTAAACACGAATATCATATTCATTTGTCGCTAAAATAAAATTCATCTTTTAATCTCACGAACGAGGCCTTTTCATGCGAAACGGATCTCATTTTTGTGATCAGCATGTTAAATAAGCCCTATACGTCAAGTTTCAGCAAAATCTGATGCATTCTAAAAATTTTCCCATAGTACCGTAAACCTACCGTAATCCTCACATAAGGTGGTAAAATTCTGCAAAAATGTGTGCATTAGAAGCTTACATCATATTCCTTATATTGCCAAAACATGAATGCGCTACGTTCAAATAGACAAAAGTTATATAAAAAGTTGCATTACTTATGTGCCAACCTAATAAATGCCACAAAATGCCCCTTATTTTTTGCGATGTCGAAAAGAAATTCGTTTTCAAATGCACCGCTTACCTATCACTTTTCGCCGCACTGTTATTCTCTTTGGACTTTGGCATAATTTCGTATTCAAGTCTACAAGATTAAAGAGACATTGGCGCTATGCTTAGCTCTTCCCTTTGCTATTAGTCTCTATTACAGGTGTAGAAGAGGTGAAATTTATGATCCATCCGTTGGAAAGTGTGTCGAAGGCAAATGTGCACCTTCTACCGCAGAGTGTCGTGATGGAGAGGTAGTCAAAACATCTTTCACTTCATGATGTTTAATCGAAATACATGGCAGAGGATAACCAGTATGAATCCCGCAGAGTGTAACCGCGTCGTCGAATGTCGCAACGGAGCTTGGGTATTACTTCAGTGCCCGGATGGCCACATTTATGGTAGTATCCTATCTTGAGCTTCGAGTAATACACAAGGTGGTAGAATCATTCAGATTCAAATACAAACAATTGCGTTCGTGGACATTGTCAAGGAACTCAGGACCCTCAAGTCCGGCCTTCCGAACAGAAACCTCTTATTGTTGCATCGCCACCAAAGTACAAGTCTCTCGCACCATCTTCAAATCCCGCTTACAACGGGATACCGGTAAATTTTGACTTTGTGCCCACCAGGGATTAAGCTAAAAGTTACTGATTCTGTCGCTTGCTCCCATTCGCTTCAAGCAATCGCACTGCTAAAAATTCTTGTAAAGAGCAGCAGGCACAAAGGCAACCATTTTCATACCGAATTCATGAATCAATAAGAGAGCCTTGATTTGGTCCAACAATTTAGCACGTTTGCTTTAAACGTATGGCAGTAAGCTACAGGATTTTTATGATTAATTAATGCAGACTTGATTCTGTGCGTATCAAACACTCTCGCTCTACTTTCTTATTTATAAGAATTTGTTCCTGCTTGTTATGGAAATCCGAATCCTTCTTGCGCAACTTTCATATTTACAGGAGTTTGTTGCTTCCTCCTGTTATGGAAGTATCCGCACACCTGACCAATACGACAGCAGTCGATACTGGGAATGCGGGCCTTCTGGAAAATATCAGAGCATAGTATGAATATTATTTGTGGTGTAATCTGAACTTACAAATTCAGGTCTGCCCCAAGGGGAATGTTTACGATCCTCGTAAGAAAACCTGTGTTGAAGGGTACGTTACGCGAAATTGCTAACTAGAAAGTACTTCTAATTCTAGAACATGCACTGCGAAAAGATGTGTCGAAGGGAGTTTCCAACCTTTGCAAGAATGTGGGCGTTACAAGTGAGGTCATACTACCAAACAACACAAATGAAATCAAAGCACACTCTTAGAACTTGTCACAACGGCGAATGGTATGATGCAAGGTGCAATCACGGGAAGAAGTTCTTCAATGGTAGATGCACATATGAGGATTGTCCCAGAGAAACTTACGGTAAGAATACATGAATGTAACGATAATATCCGTTTATTACGGTAAGAATACATGAATGTAACGATAATATCCGTTTATAGTGATAAAAATGATGGCATTAGGTCATTCGGAAAATTTTTTCTTTTTCGCACCTTCAAATTCAAACGAGCACAATTTTATCCAGGTTTAACCTTTTTTTGAATCAAAAAGTTTCGTTGTGTTCAGCAAATCTTATATATCTTATATATAAAGCTGAATGTCTGTTTGTCTGTCTGTATGTATGTCTGTCTGTCCGTACGTATGTTCCGAATAGAAAATTCCATCTCTTAACCGATCCGGACCAAACTTGGCACACATACACTTCGGGCCCCGGCGGATGTCACAGTCCACTTTTCGTTATCGATCGATGTCGATTTTATCGATTTTTTGCAAAATTTGAGCTAGGGGGCTAGGATTTGGCACAGGGGGGTAATCGAGCATGCTGATTACGAATCCAACATTAGTTTTTAAAATCGTGCATTACTTTTATCGATTTTATCGATTTTTTTGCAAAGTTTGAGCTACGAGCATGCTGATCACCCCCGTGGTGGTGATCAGCATGCTCGATTACACCCCCCTGCCAAATTCCAGCCCCCTAGCTCAAATTTTGCAAAAAATCGATAAAATCGACATCGATCGATAACGAAAAGTGGACTGTGACATCCGCCGGGGCCCGAAGTGTATGTGTGCCAAGTTTGGTCCGGATCGATTGAGAAATGGAATTTTCTATTCGGAACATACGGCGGAGCCGGGTAAGCCAGCTAGTTTCTGGTAAAACTCCCTAGTGCTCTTGTGCTTTTTTCTTGCAAAATAATCTCAGAGAAATCAATAAAGCCTAAAAACGCGTTTTTGACTAGCCGATCTTTATTGGGTCCTCTTAATTTTTATTAGGCATCGAAGAATTAGAAAATTTGGTGATTTTAAAAGAAGGTCTAAAGAGTTCAAAAATAAACAGGAACCTCGGTGCGCAGTCAACCCCTTTGTGAGAGCCACCATTCTTACACGTGGTTTGGCGGCGTCATGAACGAGGATGGCATCTGTCATAGGTTATACGTGCAAGTCTGCACAGTTTCAAAATTTTGACAGATCTTCAAACCGATATCACACTACTCTGCTCTTACAATACAGTCGCATCTTACAAGGGAATGGTCAGAAGTCGAAGTGGCCAATCCATACAAGCTGCGCATCATTCGACGCAGCATAAAATGTGATTCTAAATCTGTCTTCCATATCTGCAGAGCGCCTTTGTAGGTTACTGCAAAAAACCGTATACAAAAATTGCGAAATTAGGCACATTATTACTCTTTCAGCTCACCTCTAGGTACAGGTCATATGAAGTGACCTAATTGCATGTTTTGGTCCAACACCGAGCCGAAAATGGCTTTGTACGGCCAAGTTTGCACTTTACAAGCACAAATCCTTAGCAAAATAATGGCCCTCAACGGCTAATTATTTCGTCCACGAAAGTGCTCTGCAGATAAGGGAGACAGATTCAAAGTCAGCGTTTTATGCTGCGTCTACTGGTATGCAGCTCGTACGAATAGGCCACTTCGACTTTTGACCATCCCCTTGTTAGCAAGTTTATAGCGTGCAAGACCAACAGCACTACATTAATTGGAGTACATCAACCTTTTGGAATGACTGATTGTCCCGGCCAAGCTTCAAATGCTTATTCCAAACCAGTGCGTCACCTCTGCTTCGCAGAGGCTCGCATTGGTTCTTCTATCTATATGTCATACTTCATCCCACATAACATGGCATTGAAACATACCACGCAATGTCCGCCTACTCGAATGATTCGTAAACAACTACTCATTCCTTAAGCTTTTTCGTGTGAGATCGGTACGCGTGGATGAAACTTTGGAAAATGAAGAAAAAACGCAAATGAACAGGTTTTGAAACTTTTTTTGGCTTGGTAGTCGCCATAAGGACAATAGTTATCGTGAGCTACATCTCTATGCAAAAATCTTCTCCAATGCTCAGGTAAAACCATGGCGTGTTGACCATTTACGCGACCATTTCTTTTTGGGCGTCGTTTTCGTAAAGTAGCAAGCCTTTAATCACTTTCTGGTCTAAAGTCCATGGCTCACATATCAACCTGCTAAACACCACGGCTTTGCAAAAAGCGTTGATACGGACCCAATTTTGCGGGCCAAAAGCCAAGTGGGTCCGTTTGACGCGCAAATTCTGAGAGACCACTCAACGAATCCGTTTATGCTTTTGCATGCTGGAGTTCTACCTTGGTAGCATACGCTATGTAAAATTTGGGCTCGGGATGGTGGCTGGAACCTGCTGTATGAATTTCGTTACAGGCAGACAGACATATAACCTAGAGTCATTTGTAACTTAATATGTGAGAATGCACACTAAGCCCTATCAGCGACGGCAACCTTACTGGTAACTTTCCAGCGAAACATTTTTTTGCCTAAAAAAGTGTGGAAATATGTTCTATTGATTAACATGTAATCAAAAACAAAAGAAACAAGGAAACAAGCAGAAATTACCGGAAATAAGCAGGTTCTACTTTTGCTCTTCGTCAGTTAGCGTGCTTAGTGTGCACTACGCATATTATGTTACGAATGACTCGACGATACATACATAAAGTCACGTAAACACCTTTAGCCCATTATTATAAGTTATGATGATTTACCATAAATTCACTTCTTGAGCCGTACTAGGCCAATTTTTTGCTGTAATTATCAACCCAAGCCAAAAAAGAAGTGCTTCGTCAAATTTTGAGAAATGAAGGCAGAGTCAATGTGCCCTCAATCTGCGGGCGCGACAATTTGTGAGGTGCATGCAACCGACATTTTTCGGTATTGCAACTCTAGCAAGGTGACTTCTAATGGGGCTATATGACACTTCTAGGCCTGCTGATAATTTTACGCAGCTGTAGTTGCGATTTGCTCCGAAGGACCCTCTGAGATGCTCGTTTGTATGGCATGAATACCTTTCAGAACACTGCAAAACATTAGCTTCCATTTTTCTAGATCTGAACGTTTTGAAGTAAACTTGAACTTACCTCAAGAAAGACGTGACCTTGGCAAATGCATTGCGCACAATGATGGTTTCCTCAGCTGTCTTGCACTAAGTTTAAGTCAGAGAAACAATTATTCGAACATCGCGTTTTCGTATGTCGAGTTTAAAGCCGCGTAAACTTCCCTACAAAGCGCTTTCTGCAAATTCGGCGGGATCCTCAGAAACTAGGAGAAGCAACCTTTATCAGCCCCCTGGCAACTGCCGTATTGCCGCTTCCGCCACTATTTTTTGCGACCTGGTTTTTTCACCGGTGCGCTGACAAGTGTAGAGCGCTACATATAGCCGCACCTAGAGCAGTTTATGCTCTCCGTTCGTTTATCTCCTTCTCAAACACCGTTCATCGATTTGTTCAATTACGCTTCACAGCGTCTAGGGAACTCCCGCAAGAGTGCATGTAAGAGGTCGAGCTAGCAGTTTGACTTTGAGCGAAATGTTCTGTTTTAACACATTGACGACTATGCAAATTTTGAGTTGTCTGCCTTCTGGGACCAAGGCCTACCACGGGTCAGCCAACATTTTCCAGATAAAATCAAGCATAATGTCATCTGCAGTACACCCACAGTAGCTCTCTGAAGCTTACAGATTAGATGGAGATTATTTTATAGATCCAGCCAAAAGAAAACTCCTAGAAGGAGACAGACAGAAACTCCTAGAGAAGTAAGTTCGCCTCAGAGTAGTCGCCGTTTTACTAAATTCATACCTTGACACAACATGTGTGTCAAGCAGTCCCACGTGGTAATCATTGCTTGGCGCACCATGTGTGTCAAGCAGTCGTCAATGTGTTAATTTAAGTTTCGAAGCAACATCCGCTGAAACAAAGAGGGACGCACTGCACGGGCGTGGCGTTATGCACTTGAACTTGAGGAGTCCTCAATACATTTGATGCAATGAAACTGCATGAAAGTGCAAATTTGAGACCATTGGTGATGTGGGGTATAGCGTTTTGCCCGCGACGCGATAGTTCAGTGGTAGTTCGTTAGTCTTGAGTTTATAGTGTTTTTTATTGTGTTTTAGGTTAACCTATGTATCATATAGTACCTATTTTCAAGCTCTTATGTTCTGCTCGCGCTTGTAGTGAGCATGCCGATATGGGCGACACAGTCGCGCACAAAAACAGTATGCACAGTCATTAAATTGAGAAATACGGGATCGGGTTGAAGGTGGCCGGCAAGCGAATGAGCAGCAACAACTTGCAACAACTATCTTCTTACTGGGATAGTCTTGAACTGCAGAAGCAAGTTGGTTACATTCAGCCAATTCATAAAAACTTTATGGCGAGCCGTGCAGGTTTGTTAAGATATTTATTCGATCTAACGCTTCCAGTACTTCTCAAAGACCTGAAAGAAAGCTTCACTGAACGATATGGACAGCTACTTTTTTTATCACCAGTGGAGTTTAAACGTCTGTGGTTGCGCTGTCGGTGGAGATCTTGTTATGCTACGTGTCGCGTAATGTCCCGGCTTGTTGCTCCCAAGACATTGATCCAAGCTAATCAAGAGGAGAGATTTTAATATATAGGACAAATCTAGGAGTCTTTCTTTTAGGTTTTTGAAAAGATATTATTGCCGAAACGTTAGACCGACTAAATTTCCTAGCAAATCTGCGCGGCTCACAAGAAGTTCATGAATCCGAACCATGTCCAGATTTCTTGATTAGAGAACGATAATATTCAGCAAATTTGCAGTCGATGCACCCCTTCATGGCATTTGCCATTTGGATAGTTTCAAAAAACGAAATTTTTCGAAAGATCGAATTATTCGAAATCGAATTCTTAAACGAACTATCCAAACATTTTATTCAAATGTTTCATTCAAACTCGTGTTCGAATGACATTCGTACTCGATTAATTTGAGTTTGATGCAGAGTTACATCTTGCAAGTCAGGTATGTCAATAAATTTCAGATATGGTCGCTTTAGATTTTCAAATAAATCATTTGAATATTGATTTATTCGAATGATTTATCTAAAGTTCAGCCATTCAAAGAAGTCCTTTGAATGTTTATTCAAAATTCAGCCCTCCATGTGTATAACCGATATTTGTTCATTTGAGGATTTTGATTTACTTTTGTTCGGTGCTCGTTTACTCGAAATTTTCAGATTTTATATTCAATCGACATTAATTTACTTGATATATCGAGTATTATTCGATATTCGTTTATTCGAGTCCGAAATATATTACTTTGCTATTCACATCTGAGAGTTCTTTAAGGTTCAAAATGGATACGAAATGTCTTGAATATAATTTGATTTTCTAGATGAAAGATACTACTCACAACTGCAGTGTCATGCTGGTGCCGTGCAGCCAAACCCGGAGAATCCTGCTACCTATAGGTATTGCGAATACGGGATCTGGACTGAGAGAAGTTGTCCTGAGGGAGCAGTTTTTGACTGGAAGGTTGGTAACGAACTTGCGAATACCTTAACACTAAGATGTCACCTTTTTCATTTCATAGAATGATGACTGTTACTGCCATGTGCTAAGAGGAAAACCAACACATTTGATTGAGTTTGGCGTAAGTCAGAAATATTTTCGGTGGGATACGAGAGCCTTTGAGAAGACTAGTTGCTGACCTTTTATAAAAGCAGAAAGATTTGAACAGATTAGAACATAATGAGCTTTCAACAATAGTTCAGAAGTATGTCCGATTTATCTGAAACAAATCTCGGAATGTCGCAACAGCAGCTAAGGCTGATCCTTCGGAAAATCAGCTACTAGTTTTGACAACTATACATTATTATAATATAATAGTTGCATTCAAAAGTCACGGCAAAAGAGCTTCTTCACTATCATGATGGAGGAAAGTGCTGAACAAAAAAGCAGAAAGTATATACGAATTTACTCATATCGTTAGTGTAATTTGTGAACCTCCATGACCAGTATGACAAAAATACATTGTAACACCAATCAAGGTTTTCCTTTTTTGACAAAGTGTCACAGAAATACTTCTGCGCATTTCTTGTTTTACCTTGTGTAATTAAACAGAAAAAAAATAACTTTTCGAGGGTTTAGGTCGGAAAGATGCTTGCAAAAAGTTCTTGAGCAACCCAAAGAATCTTTGGAACGTAGCTACTGGCCAAGTCCAGGGTCCGGCGCAGATCATACGGAAGCAGCTCGGACTTTGTTTTTAAGGCTAAAAGCAAAAGGGATATCGTTTTTGTGGCCAAAAATTTCGGCTTTTCTAGTCGAGTTTCTTTTTTGAGGGTTTTTACGTTCAGAGCTTAGAGTCAAAGGGGACTTCTCAAAATCTCGCGAAAGTCAAGGGTGACCTCGTTTTCAAGAAGCCTAGAAACGAACTTATGCCGAGCCCTGGCCATGTCTCATCGTTCGCAAAAAAGCCACCCTCGAGAGATATCTTGGATCAGCATTGATATCAAAAATGATGTGAAACCCTGCTCCTCGAAGCATGAGCAATTTTTTGCTGCTTGCTTTAGCAACTTTTTTATGCAAAATTTTTCCTGGACTATTTGTTTTATTAATATCCACCTCGAATGCCTAGTACTAGTTCCTGCATAAGTTACCAAATTTTCGTTATGTAAGTGAAGTCAGGGGAAGAAGTATATGACAGTCCAAATGCAGTATTATTGTTCATAGAAGTGCTAATTGTTGATCTAACGCCGAAGCGCTCATACAATCAAATCAGATATTTGCATTCAGGTACTCGGATGCGTAGTGGCTCCAAACAATCCTATGTACAAACCTACATGTTACGAAGGAAATACAAGACCTGTGAAGACTCACTGCTCTCTTTATGAGGTGAAAGGACACTCTAATTTTCGAGAGTCTTAAAAGGCTTGCTGTTTTGAAACTTTGAGGAATGTTCTCACGGACGATGGGAGAGAAAAGCATGTCCATATGGGTATAAATTCTACAACGGTTATTGTGTGGTAGGAAATTGCAACGAAGAAGGGCAGCCTTGCGTTGTAAGAGTCTTTGAATTATTGCAAATACTCAGAGATTAGTTTAGGAATCTTCGGGAAGGGATGGATATCGACGAGTACAGCATGACTGTACTAAGTTTTACCAATGTGTTCATGGTAAGTGCCACTCAAAATTCTTCATTTTGAACTCACATCAACCAATGACCCGCTGACCTGAACTAGCTGGATCTAGCTTACTTTACTATGCAATAACCAGGATACGTCAAAAGCGTTCTAAAATTGCTGGTCACTAAGTCTACGGCGCATTGTCTAAATTCAACTGAACTGAAAAAAAAAAGAGTATGGTGAAAAGGGTAGGGCAAAATGTGTGAGGATAAATGGTTTTGTCTCAAACAGCTCCATTTTACAAGCACCTGAGGCACTGTGGCTTAAAAAATTATATTAAGAACATAGCATAATTAGCACTCTTGATGATTTTCTGTGAATTGAGACCATGGATGATTTACTTCGGTAAAAGCTATCGGAACTATATTTTTGCTTTCAAGTAAAAAAACGTTTTTAAAATCAATTTAGCAGTTTTAAGTTCACTAAACTAATTCACTTCTCCTACATTAATCAGCCCTCGACTTTCATTACTGGTTGAAGCCTACCACAATAGATACTTAAGATATTTTCTGTTGGGGTAAAATATTAGGTTAAAAAAATAAATGTCGCATTTTGTGCTTTCATGAGATATCAAGACAGGATGAGCACCGAAAAAAATGCATTAGGTAAGCTTTACAAGATGGTCCTTAAAAGATCGCACCAAGTTCAATCTACGTGTAACTCAAAGCCACTCTGAAGCTTCATTCAAAATGCCTAAAAAAATCGTATTTTTTCTCTCTCAAAAAAAGCCTCACAATCTCCAATTTGCCTATGGTTATTCTCCCCACATGAGACAGTAACATGCAAAGTTGTGTAAATCGAAAAAAAATATTTTTCGGCTCTCTTCCAAAGCTTTGCTGGGCCGCTCTCACACTAGTAGATGTTACTACTGGCTTTACCAAGCATGACCATAAATTTTAAGGTTTTTACAAGAGTTAGTCCTCGAGGAAAATCGACTTGGCTTTCCTTCCACTTTTACGCTCAGTTTGATATTCCTCGTAAATACTCCTTTAGAGGAGTACAGATTTACTATTATATGTGATGATCGCTCAGCATTGCTTTGGAGAATAAGTAAAAATTTTTGTTTCTTCGATCCGAAGTTATGGAGAAAATACAGCAACTATGCATATAAATGTTTGATGCGCAAGGACTATTTCTGAACAAGCTGGGTTCATAGGATATTTTGAGAAAGAGAGAAAGTTTTTCGGTTTTTGGGCATCTTTAACTCCTTGGATTTCGGCTTTGTGTTACGCGTAACCTTTGATTCAACTGGCCTGGCTTCAAGAAGGCGGGGCTTTATGATCTAATGACCGCTCGCGCCCGCGACGCACTTGCTCTCTCTCGCGCGAGTGCTCTCTGTCATTACCTGGTCTTGATTAGGTCACGAAGCCCCGCCTTCCCGAAGGCAAGCCAGTTGAATCAAATGGTAGATCGAAATTGATGCGATTGTTCGAGAACCATCCTGTACAACTTGCTTTGCTCTATCAAACCATAACCCAAGCACTTTTTTGGTGCTCACCCTGCTTCGATATCGCATGATAGTAGAAAATGTCACATTCTTCTCTTTTTGACCTAATATGTATGACTTTGATTCATTTTCTATTCTCTTTCGTTCAGGCAAATGGATGGAACAACCCTGTGGTCCAGGCACGGTTTTCAATGAACGTGTCTCAGTCTGCGATTTTGCGTGGAATGTACCTGAATGCGGCGGATACTTACCCAAATGACAGAATACATCTTCGAAAATTCTCAGATTTGATTGCATTGGTTACGTGCTGCGTTACTAAAATGATGCAAAAAAGGAAATAAATGTTAATGACAGCTGTAATTTCAAATCATGGTCAATAAATATCGTTTGTACCTCTTTTTCCTTTTCTCTATCTACCTTTCAAGATAAGCAGACCTTTGATAGCAGCCCACAACTCTTGTTGATCGTTGCAAGACAGCTTATCAGAAATCTGTTTTTCCTAGAATGAAAAAAAAGAAGAAACAAGGAAAACGGCTCCAATGTCGAAGATGTTAGATAGGCAATAAATCTGTGATAATGACCTTTTTTACCGTTGTCGAATGACGCTGCATTAATAACTACAATCAAAAAATGGCACGGCTGATAGTGAACACAGCGAAGATACATAGACAGTATAGAGTGAACAATATATTGAATAGATTTACCAGTCTTGCCGTTTCTTTACCGATCTTTTGGCCGAAGTACATACATTCAGGCACATTCCAAATTCAGGTTTTCTTAGTCTGTGTTCGTTATCGTTTACAACCATCAGCGCTGAGCTTGAATATTGATGGCTCCAATCATGCAGAGTTCATCCAAAGTCCTATTAGGTTGTCCATAAGTTCTGCAACAATTTTTCAGAAAAAAATTGTAAATTTTTGAAATACTAAGAATTCGTTGATTTCAAGATAGCTTGAAAAAAGGTTAGGCACTCTCTAAATGTTCTTTCAGCAAGATTCCATTTTTATATCACCGAAATACAAGCTAATTTGAAGACATGCAAAAAGTATTTGTTTTTTGAATAAATTCTCAGTTGCTAAAAGACTCAACAAAATTCAAATAAACTCTCGATTTTTGCAACTCACTATGTAATTAAGAACAAAGCGCTTCCAGTGTTTTTGTTCAACGAAGGACAGTCGTGTCCAAATGTGATTAAATTTTCAAAGGTTGAATTCATTGAATTTCCAAGCTTCGTCGCTTTATGCTGTGATGGATGTGCAGATGAATAGATTAGATATAGTTTTCTCTATTTAGCGAATACGGTAATTGTGATGTGCCATTTCAAAAGACTTTGATCAGAAAAGCGGAATTGTAGTAGAGTTCGCAGCTCGCTTCTGTGCAAGTTCAAAAACCAGTATTTATGCGAAGTGTGTGCAAATTGTCAGGCTGTTACGCCGAAATTGCAGGGATCAATTATACCGATGCAGTTATTATATTGCGACCATGCCATCCATCCAGATTCGCATCTCTCTAGGTTATTTCCTAGTACCGCTATTTCATTGTTGCCCTTGAAGGGCAATGTTCCAATATGCAGAACGAAGGTGACGAAACCAAAGATGAGTCAACCATAACGCTAATTTCAACTTATTTGAATTATCGTAAAAGTTGATTCATAATTAATGCACGTTTTCTCTACTTCAACTTTCAACCAAGATAACTCTTTTTTGAAAAAATGTTTCTGGACGCAATAAAACTACTGTAACCATCAAATTAGTGGCTATACAAGAGGTACTTTTGCGTGACTGTATCTATCACAAGAAAGATTTACTGGCCTGAAGGTTGCCAACAAGTTTTTTCGGAAGCCTCTACTTTAAGAGAGCATAACTTATGTTGAAATGAAGTAGGATAAAGTAGACTTTGCCATCGTGTAGCCAAAGGCCTCTTGAGCAGTGATGCCAAGCTTGGATTTTACGGGAAAGTTTTGAAAGAAAATGTCGCAAAAAAGTAGAAACTCACTTTTCTGGCATCTCGACGGGTTCAAAAATCAATCATTTTTGAAATTTCACTTATCTCCGCTGGAAAGTGAGAAAACGCTAGCGCTTTTCTACCGTCAGATGAACCAGGTCTACCCTTGCTGGATAGTGCAAAAGACCTTCAATCGCCTTTTGCTTCAAAGTTTTATATGGCACGGAAGGGCCGCGAGGATCATCTAAGTTTGCAATTGAATTTCTTGGTTCAGAATTCATGGAGAATTTTGTGCAAATAGCATGAAGTTTCCTAATCCTTATGCATATTTTTTGAAATTAATCCGGCTATTCCTCATGGATTTAGGGTAAAAAGAGTGAAAAGCAAAAATTTTGGAATTTAGTGTCTTTTATTTAAAGGCTTAGAACTTTGGAATGAACGGAGATGTACGAAAGCGATGGCACATATAAGAAACTAGAAAAAACGCTCTTTTACATAGCGCAAATAGTTTTTGAGGGAATTGATTACACATCAAATACCAGCTCTTGGAAGAAAGGGTGAAAAAACGTGCATTAATTATGAATCTACCTAATATATTGCGCAGAGAAGATCATAATTGTTCAACTGGCCCAGAAATTCCGATCATCAGTTCGAAAACAAAGTCATCAGTTATTTGCCAGTCTTTACTCACTAGGACGCCTTACTTGCAATGGTGGCCCGATAAATTCTTTCCAGGGACGGAGCGATAAAATTTTTCATCAGCCACGCAAAAGAATTTTTTTGGGATGAGTGCAGTATTTTTGCGAGCCGTAACTTGGAAATTCTTAGAATATAATTTTTTCAACTGCAAAGTATTTAAATCACTAAAAAATCCAGAAATCAGTTTAACTACTTACAAGCAAAAACAAATCACATGCATAGTTTTAACTCATGTAAGTAAGATTCAATTTTGCTACTGCTTACCCTCCCCTCTCCCCTTGTTCCGCCACTGTTTAATAGTATGACAGACTTTAGCAATATACTTGCTGAAGTATGTGCTCTAGTACTCCTATGCTCGTCTAACTAGAACAAAAACTGTCTTTCATTAACAGGACAAAAGCAATTTTTTCGTTCCTACCAGTCTAGTATTTGTCGTTTGAAAACTCGTATCTTATATTTCCGAGTAGTATAATAATTAACATCTAAGAGCATTATGGTTTATGTTTCGCAACCAAACAAAAATTGATCATTATGCAAGTTTACTTGTGATCTGTAGATGTCAAGCACCAATGGGTAGCAAGCAGTGTATCTACACACTATTGGGTTATTCCTTCGATGCATATAATGATTTCTCAAAAAAATGAACGGGTGAAGCTGCCTTTTCTTCCCCCCCCCCTCCCCCTACCAGCACGAAGACCATTTTGGTAGTTGTTTATCAAGTACACATTACACAGCGATAGAATGACATAATAGAAGTGTCATTTACATGTTAAACTAGTGGACCATCAACATCAGCCTCCGTTTCTTTCCACTCTTTCAACTCTAAAATTTCTGTTTACACAAGATCTCCCAACATGCGTCATTAATCGTTAATAACTCTTTTGTCATGTCTTCGCGAATCTTTTGTCGTCATAAAAAAACTTGAGAAACCACCTACAGATTATCACTGCAGAATTATGGTGGACGCTATTGAAGCGGTACCGCAGACCAGTTGCAAATTGAGCAGGAAAAAATGTCATCATTTAGCTAGTAAGAGCCGCTAATTCCACATGAGATGTATTCTACAGAAGTCTTTCTTCTCAAGTTATGCCAAGCATCCTTTAAAAGCTGCTTTAAACTCATTTAAAATCTAAAAAGGCATAAGTTCTTGTACTAGTGGTGGAAAAATCCATCACAGAAATTGTACTTTTTTACCTAGGATTTAATTAGCATTCGTGCTTGAGCCGTATTCATTTCTTGCCAATTCTACAGTAAGGAAGGATGATGGGTGAATGAAATTTTTATATTCAAGCCAATTACATCAGCACTGCGGAAAGATCCCCCGCAGTTCATGAAAGTTAAGGCGACAGGGGGTATATTTTCGGGGACCTGTAAAAATCTTTGTTCACTTTTTTTCTATAAGCTTGTTTCAATATTGTCGGTTTTTTGATCAATCTCTAGAACTCACAGAACATTGATCGCCGAACGACTAAGCTATCATTCAATCCATATTTTCATCCTCTTTCTGGAAATTACGTTTTCTTTCTGGTCTATGCAGTCTCTGCCATGTTAACTGCAGGGCTTGGAGCAATTTAGCAGCCACTCCAAAACCTCCTTGCTTTATAAAAAAAATTTGATCCTAGCACCTTAAAAAGCGCCGTTAGCTGTTAAATAAAGTGCACTGGCTACGTTCCATCCATTTTAGATTATATAGATTGTGTGTGTGGGAAAATGCCCGGCTTTCTGAGCCCCGTCAGCACATAGGAGTACCGAAAATCCCGGTAAGCTTTTTTTTTCAGGGCAAATCAAACTTGATCATCTTGCGCAGATGACGTTCAATAATAATCAGGCTTGAATTCCTAAAATCTTGAAGCTTTCACTTTTTTGCTATTTTTTGTTTCCCGGCTTTAACAAAAATCGAGATCTTCCAAGAAATGATGTTATAAATCTCCAACAGCCGATCAGAAGATTCTAGAAGCACTTCCATATAGTCGGAGATTTGCGATACTTGTACCATACCTAAATTCTCTGAAACTCTAGGATGAAAATTTTTGAAAATTAGCCGAACTTCGCAAGACAGAACGACGTGTAGAGAATTTTGGTAGTTTTCAGGAAGGTTCAAAAGATTTTGCTTCGAGATAACCGTTACAAAGAGAACAAAAAGCCGCGTCGAATGCATGTTTCAAACATTGTTTCGGAAAAACCGACAAAACCTTCGAGACAATCTAAATCAATAATCACTTTTTCATTTTTCAAATTTTTGAGGCCCTATAGCTACTACGCAGTAGCCTTGAATTGTTTCAAAAATTTTTTCGCAACCCATAGCGCCACATGAGACCACATTCCTGACATTATGTCAATTACGTCGGGAAGACACGAGTACTGATAAGGCCATAACCGCTAATCTTGTCGTTTTTTTATTGTTCACTTAATGAGTAGTTGTGATTATGTCCGAGTTCTGCCGCTTGGAAAAGACCTTAATTTAAGATAAACAGATAAGAACTCGCAACCTGTCGTGTTTAGTGCCACCGGCTTACACCCATTGCTTAATTTCAAGATAACGACTCTCAATTGCAATTTGTTTGATGTTAGTTTTTCATTGATTTTCTTGTACCAATTACATTATATCCTTAAAAGTAAAACATGCTAAATATCTCTCAACCACTCCGTTGTGAGCT